GAAGGATCTCGGCGACAGTGACAACGAATCCACGATATCTACACCGGCTGTGCCCGGATGTGGGGGTCCCGGTCCCGAGGCGACTTAAGAGCCAAAACATGCCACCGCAACCGCTCTCAGGTCGAAGGATGACGGGTTCAGTTTCAGCCCACTGCGGATGTGCATCTTGCACGGCTACAGGCCCCGGCTTGCAAAGCCAATGCCTCCGCGAGTGTTCTTTACGAAGCCTCTGTCCACTCCAGGGAGCACATCCGAATCACTGAGGGCCCAGGCCTCGACACATAACAAACATTGGCAACGTTTTTGGAGGAGATCCACAAGCTGGAGAAGTTCCTGAAAGCACACGCAGAAGATCCGCAGATGGCCGCGATCGTAGCAGCTTACCACTTCTGTTCCAAACTGGAGAATGCTGTCCGGTTCGTCAGAACCACACTACTGAGTGCACGTCTACCTGAAATGGAGCCCCCGGAGCGGGATGCAACCGCGATCACCCCTTCGAAGGCCCTATACCCCGTCGTGTGCATTGCATGATCATTTCTGCTCTGAGTGGCGACATGCTCTCCACGATCAACTTGCGCAAAGGAGAGCCTTACATGCCGCAGGTGCCGTTCGCCCAACTTTGCGCTGCGCTGCACGCTCCGGGCTTCCAGCTCTTGGAACAGAAAACCAATGGTACAGAATTCGTGTTTCTAGTTGATGCAGAGGAGGTCGAACTTCATCTCACTACTTTAAGCACGAAGAACTCGAGCACCTTGCGGATCTACGTAGCGCAAGATCCCTGCATGATGAACACTCCGGTCAGCACGACCGACGACATGACCCTCCGGCAACTTCACTTCGTCCTCCAGACGTCGAAGGTACGCTCGCCAAGAAAACTCTGAAAGCCCTGATGCCACTTCTGAGAGAGAATGTGGGCAGGCGCAAGGTTTCGGAGTTCCCGACAGGGTCCGGTGATTTTGCAATAGTCTTATAGTTCAAAGGGCCCTTGCATCTGCCGGAGGGCGTTCTTCGACGAGGCCTACGTGAAGATTCCTGTCAAAGCCAAGAGCGAGGAAGTCGGCTGTGCCCAGTGGCTTTTGCACGAATTGCTCGGCAGCCTCTCTGACCGCAAACCCCAATTCCCTAGGCCCCATGAAGCCCGAAATCCACAAAAGGCTGCTAGGCCCCAAACCCTGCATAAACCCTAAACCCGAATGTGTAACCGGCGCCAAGTCGGGTCTCTCCCCTTCGGGGGCTTTGGAACGCCCGGAACGGAATGAAGCAAAAGCCAGAGGCTCCAGATATGCTACCATGTCCCATACGCTATAGTAAGGGTTGCGGTAATTTCCCTTGTGCAATATTAAGAACTCGGTATGGGATCGTAGTTTCAGCGTGAGGCCAGTACTTGTGAGAGTATATGACCATTGAATCATTAAACACTTGGGCCCTCAAGCTGTCGGAAAACCAAGCTCAGGAATTTAGGTGGTTATACCAAGATAGTAGTGCATATGGACCCTCTGGGGCAGCGAATGTACAGCAGCAGCCGACTGCGTTTGCCCCTAAGGGTGCAAGCATCAATCCTAATTTTCATTTGTCGTTGTGACAACTAACCTAGACTGTGAAATGAAAGCCTGAATGATCGCACATTCGTCCTTATGGTTCTTCATTGTAGTTCTACTAGAATGCCCCCAAAGCTTTATTCTGCTGTTTAAGGCTCCTACATCACCCCAAAATCTCAACCTGGTTATCAAGGGTCCTGTATTACGGGGTTCTCCAAAAGCAATACTTGCACCCTTAGGGTTCTGATGCACCTCGAGGACATTGAGTCAGCTTCTGAAAGCAGAGCAGGGGCTTGAGTGTCTTTGAGGTCACCCCTGGCATTGATATGTTACACCCTGAATAGATAGTTTCGGTTTTCATGCTTCGGCGGTATCTACGTAAACATATGGGTTTTGCACCATGATTTCCATATGTTTATATATTCATTCAGATATGACTGTGTAAGTACATAAACACATGTATTTCTATATGTAGCGAAAAAGAGATTCGGCACGGGAGTTGCAGGTGGCAGATCTCTCGGTGCGGAAGCATTTGGGTTAGCATGCAAATTCGGGTCCTAAAGCGTATGGAAAGGGTTTCAGCTAAGAAGGGCTTATGCTGAGGTTTGTTTTGCGGCGTTCAATCGTGTTAAAGGCATGTTTCTATTATATTGCGATGGCGGTGATGAGAATCTACATATGATAGATGGATAAGATAGACAGATAGATGGGTCGATCTATAATACGTGTTCATGCTCTATGTCTGTATGTCTGTATGTGCGTATGTACGTGTGTATGTATTTATGTATGTATGTATGTACCGTACTGGACCTTGGCCAGGTGCTTGCTCGCCGTGGTTTCATGCGGTTTCTCTATCTCGAGGCTTCTCTGCTTACGCGATTTGTCGGGTTATTTAGGGTGGGGGTTTAGCGGTGTCGGGTCAGGGGTCAGGGGTTTTGGATTTTGGCGTTCAGGGGGGTTTTGGGGTTTAAATGGTTGGTGTTTAAGGTTTGTTGAACCCAGGTCGGACCTAAGCCAAGCCCGACCCCACCGCCTGAAGCGTAGTATACACTTTGGCTTTAACAAGGGCCCGCATGTAGGTACGTGAAGGCCGGTAAATTGATATAGCCATATAGGCTCATACACAGAATCTTATAAGGTAAGCGCCAAAAGGACCTACTCGGGAGCTTTAGGGTATACTATATGGCCGCATGGAGCCTTAGGGCCTTAGGGGGTAATTCAGGCGATGTTTCGGGTGTAATTCGGACAACCCAGAGACTCGAATATCCCTTATAATTAAGACGTTGAGAGACTCTAGGTTGAATGATGACCAGATTATTTTCTAATTCACTTTAAATTCGGTTTAGATTCGACCAATAGATTCACTTTAAATTCAGGTTGTTCCCAGGATCGCTCATTAAATTCGACTTTGATTCAATCCACGAAGGCCTATCCCCCGTGGCATTTTGCTCGAGGGACGAGTTTCGGGTCGCACATAGTTAGGATGAACTTGAAGACCGCAGGAGCTCAGCTTGTAGATCTGCTGAGTATATATCAGAGTCCTGGGCTGGGCTGGGCTGAGCTGCCGCGGCTCGGGCCTGGGCTGGGTTGCTGGGGCGGGCCGGGCGCTGGGCGGATTGAGGGGGGGTCATGAGAAAATTGGGGGGGTCCCGAGGCAGAGGGTGACCCCCCAAAAAATGTGAATTGAAAACGCATTTATTTTGATCGTTTTTTGAATTCGATTTGAATCTTTTGAATTGTTTTTGAATTCAAGTTGAATTGAAATTGCATTTTTTCCTAGGAGTGGGGCTGGGTGTGGGATTGGGCCGTTGCCACCTGGCACTTTCCACGTTCCCAAGATCGGTGTGGCTCTGACCAACCTGTCAGCCTTTTAGCTCGCTGCTAGACTAGCTAGAGTGACTGCGCTGCGTGAGGGCAGGTCCTTTACACAGGCCAAAGCTGAATTGAAATAGAATGCAGTCGCATTGGACTCCGCGGCGTCACAACTAGGTGAAATGAACACGAATTCAATCCGCATTGGATTCCAAGGCCTCAAAACCGGATGCATTGAAAACGAATTGCCTCAGCGAATTGAAAACGAATTGAAATCGAATTAGAAAATATTTTCGAAATTCCTTTCCTAGAGGGAATATGATTCAGGCATATTCCTCACTGGGAACAGCCTGTCTCTCGGATACTTGCGCCTTTTGTGTTTTGCCTCGTGCGCTAAACTGCTTCAAACCCTTAACCCTAAACTGCATCCTCAACTCCTAAACTTTAAGACTACATACCCCAAGCCCTAAACCGCCCTAAAACTCCCCATCAACCCTATGCACATAAGCTTATATACCCTAGCGGCCCTGTACTCCAAACAAATCTCGAAGCCTACATACCCTAAACCCTATACCCAAAAACCCGATACCCTGCGCCCTATACCCTATGTACGCTATACCCGAATAGCCAAAGTCTTGAGCCCTAAACCGTATACCGTAAACCGCAAGCCCTGTACCGTAAGCTTTAAACCCTAAGCCTTACTTGGAGATTCATGGGTAGTTACAAATGGGGTTATAAGTCCCCCAATATGGGCTATAAGTATAGTTACCCTACTTATAACCCTACTTATAGCTACCCATGAACCCTTAACCTATACCCTTATAGAATCCCTATAGATTCCTTTAAAGGGACTCGTAGAACCACCCATGAACCTCCAAGTAGAGGTGCTTCAACTGCTGGGCGGCCGCGAGGCCAGAGAACCAAAGACCTGGGATTGACTTGGAAGGTTGATTTAGGGTTCCTGTCAAGGGATCTATAAGGGGTCCTTCAAAGGGATCTGTAGGGGGAGTTTAGGGCTTTGGGGTTTAGGGTTTAGGGCTCGCTGGCCAGTTTTCAGGGTTCAGGGTTCCCCCAAGGGCCCGAGTACCCAATAATCATATACTCTTCAAAGTCCTAACCTACACAACTACTATCCTAAAATCCGAGTACCTGATTATTGGGTCCTTTGGACACGTAGGGTTCCTGTGAGGGGACCTATATGTAATACGGGATCCTTCAAAGGGATCCCTAGGGGTTTAGGGTATAGGGTTAAGGGTTTAGGGTATAGGGGTTTAGGGCTTTAGGGTTTAGGGTTTAGGATTCGGGGTTTAGGGCTTAGAATCTGTTTTAGGGCTTAGGCTTCAGGATTCAAGGTTTAGAGTCTACGTGTTGGGGTGGTTTCGGGTTCAGGGTTTTTGCTTGTAAGAGTTCAGGATTTAGGGTTTACAGGGGATTTAGGTGGCGTGCTCCTTAAAAGGGATCTATGTGGGTTCTATAAGAGGGGTTGTAAGGTTTCTTAAAGGATCATGGGGCAGGACCTGGGACGACTAAGGACATCATCTGCTAAGGTTCCGGAATTGCATGCTCATTGACAATGGACCTAAGGAGCATGAAGGGTCGCTAGTTTGCGTGGCATTGTGTTCTGTAAAAGCCGGAGGAACTCCAGCGGCCATGGCCACTTACGAGGAGCAGCTGACGGAGTTCTGGGGAAAGCAACTCTGGGTTGCCGTGGTATCGCGCGAGAGCATCGGATTCCAGGAGACCTTCGACGATGGTGAGCTCCGTGCTTTGTATCAGTATATGCCAGTTCAGATCGCGGCCCACAAGGTTTTTCCGACCAACGAGTTCCCTAATTAAGCTCAACTGCCTTGCAGCGCTCACTGGTGCAGGCATGGGACAGTTGGGTGACTGATAGCAGCTTCACCGTGCTTGCCACACCAGTTGGCGAGAGTAAACTTGCAATGTCGGTGTCACCTAGCCATCGAAACTCTCTGGCTACTAGCCGTACTAGCTTGCTAATTATGTATAAGCCCAATTAAGGTACTTCTAATTGTACACACTACGTCCCATGATCCGCCGAGTACCTAGAGTCTCCATTGTAGTCCCTTCTTCGGGTTACCTTGTAGGATCCTAAATAAGAAGTTAGTTAAATCAAAGAAGAAACCAAAAATGAAACCACAGGTTCTTGGATCTACTGGAAAACTGCAGACTCTAGCCGCAGAACATGTCAGTCCATGTTTCGGACGGATTAGGTTTAGGGTTGAGTCAGGGGTTTAAGGTTAGGGTTTGGGTGTTAGGGTTCCCTCGATCCTTATCCCCAAACCGCTCGAAAGGCCACACTACTTACGGCAGACGGGCATGGGAGATTCGCTGTGCCTGACGACGGGGCCTTAGTGAAATGAACGGGTGATTCATATATCTATAAGTATACAATGTAAAAATGCATGTATGTGTGTATGTATAGACTAATTACAGATAGGTACATGCATGGAATGCGAGTGCATGCATGGAATGCATTTAGTGAGTGCATTCAAGTACACGCTCAAGCTCAAAGCCGAACAGTGAGTCTTCCTCGCCCCCTAACCCCAAACTTCCCTCAACCCTCAACCGCCCTAACCCTTGTCTGGAGCTCGAAGCCATAACACCAATACCTTTACCCTAAGGCTCTAAGGGCTCAAATTTGTAGGTCTTCGCACAGGACCAGCACTCTATCAGGCTATTTGGATATGTTCAAACTTTGCGCTTAGGTCTTTCCAGCCACGGGTATCTCGTAACATGTCGTACATCAATCTTCAGAAGGGTCCCCCACTGAATTGATGGAACCCTGCAAGCCCCACCCTAAAGCCTAAACCCTGAACCCTAAACTCGCAAATCCTAAACCCTACATAATTGGAGTCCAGACTCCAATTATATCGCGGAACCTACTATTCAGGGTACTTTATTTAGGGTCTCCTATTTGGAAACTCCAAAATCCCAAGCCGTAATTGGACCCTTAACTCCTATTGTAGATCCCTTTGAAGGAACCCTTATAGATCCGATAAAGGAACCGTTATAAATCCCTTTAAAGGAACCCTTATGGACCCCTACCCTACTGGGAGCCTAAACTCCTAAAGTCTCTAGACTCTAAACTCCTAAATCCTGATCTCTAAACCCTAAACTCTGAACCATAAATCCTAAACCCTAACTGGAGCCTAAACTCCTAAAGGCTCTAGACCCGACCTTCACGAGGATTGTACCTTTCACCTCTACGTGAGCACTGCGCTGGGACCTTAGACGAACCAAACCCTTGATCACTCTTCCTCTTTCTTTCCCTAGGGATCTAAGGACTCCTCTAGAGCTCCTTTAGAGGGATCTATAAGGGGTCCTTTAAAGGGATCCATAGGGTTTAGGGATCTAAGGACTCCTATATGACGCTTTTCGGCCCAAAGACCCTACTACATATGGGACTTTCCGAATATAGGGGACCCTAATATGGTACCCTAAATAGTAGGCCCCTTATTATAAGGACCCCAAAATTTGGTACCCCTATTTTCGGAAACTCCCATAAGGCGTTTGGGCTATTTTGATTCCCAGGGTTTAAGAGCTTCTACTCGGAAGTCCAGGTCGCACCTGTATGTCGCGTTTGGGGCTTAGGGTTTAGTGTTTAGGAATTAGGGTTTAGGGTTTAGGAATTAGGGTTTAGGAATTAGGGTTTAGGGTTTAGGAATTAGGGTTTAGGGTGCTAGATGTACGAGATCGCAGACTGCAGAAGTCAACGGGACCAAAGTTGTGGGATTCTTCATGGTTTTACGTGAGCGTTGTTTGGGATCCATATTCGAATCATAGGAACACTCAACCCCAAAGGGGGTATTCACAATCTCAATGGATGGGGCTTTCTGAACCCTAACCCTTAAACCCTAAAGCCCTAAACCCTAAATCCCTAAAACCTAAAATCTCAAACCCTCATACATACTTGTAGCGTGCTGGAAGTCTGCAGTGCCTAACTACACCGTACTTCCCTTCAAAGTGGATGGTCAGGAGTTGGCCCATACCCAGCGCGTTCTCTCAAGTTCATTGCATGAACCATGTCTCGTGGAATGCATTCATCTCCGATGCGCAACGCTGCCAGGCTCTGCTACTTGGCATCCGCATTGTACAGCCGCAGCACATCCAGTGGTGTTCCTTAATGGCGAAGCAATCAACGCTTTTGAACTTCGTAGTTTTTTTCCGAAGGAATCCTTAATCAACATGCGTTGACCTAGATTTTGATGTACATGAGAGTCAGCCCTAAGTATTAAGGCCCCGCCGCTACATTCGTGTCGTGTTAATCGACAAGGAGTCGGCCTACGTGTCCGGAATAAACCTCAAAAAACGTTGATACCCGTACTGTAGCAGCCTCATAGCCGCCCCGATACATCCCGAAGAGCCACACTGCCCAATAACGACCAACCGTAACTACCCCATACCCCAAAACCCAAAATTCTAAACCCCAAACCCTGAACCTCTTACCTGAACCCTCACACCCTAAAAAACCTCGATAAATGGGAGACAGGTAAACATTAAACCCACACAAAATCCTAACCCCCAAACCCAAAACTTCTGCTTGAACTCTAAAACTGTATGTGGGTGGTTGTCAAAAATATGATCCCTTTTTGGGCCCCTTTTTTGTAGTACTTCACCTATTGTTTAGGGTACCCCAAAAAGGGACCCTAATTTTGACAGCCACCCATGTAAACTCGAATCCTCAGTCCCTGCGGCGCCGCAAGCTCCACGCGCCCCAAAAGCAATCCCTCGAAGGCGCACATTGGGGCTTTCAGGGGGATCTTAGGTGGGAGGGTTTAAAGGGTTTTGGGATTTTTTTTGAAATTAAAGGGATCTGTAAGGAGCCCTTTAAAGGGATCCATAGGGTTTGGGGTCTAAGGTTTAAGGGTTTCGGGCTTAGGGTGTACCTGCACCCTAAAAAACCTTCCACTTTGGGGGTTAATTACTTGCTATGATTTTTTTTAAAGGTCCTGCAGAAGATAGGTTTTTACCGTCCAGGTAGGGTTTTCCGATAGATAGGTAATTAATGAAACCTGAAGCCCTAAGCGTTAAGCCTTAAACCTTAAGCCCTGAGCCCCAAACCCATGAACCCTAAAGTCCTGGTCGTTTCGGTTTAGTAGCACCCATACCCCTAAACCCTAATCCCTCATGCTTAACGGCCAAAGTCCGGGTCCTTTCGGTTTAGTACTACTGTAGTCTTGGCTCTATTAAAACTCGGGCAAACCTAGCTCCCTCTAAATTTTTAATTAACTCTCAATTGTGGACCCGAAACCGCAAAACTCCGGGCACCGGAGGTTTTAATACAAGGGGTGGCTTTAAGATCAGGAGAAGCGAATAGTCAACATGGGCAGAAGCGCTTGTTATCTTTATGACATTGGATGGGATCTGCATGTGCTGAGGTCTTGTCTTCCTTGGTGTTGGATGCAGTGATACCGGCAGTACCCGAAAGCAGCATTGCTTCACACCCCATACTCCACTACTAAACTCCACACTCTCGACCCCTAACCCTAGCGCACCACCCTCGTAACATCTTGATCTGACCATAGTATATGTTGCTTACAAGTTCGAGCCTTTAGACCTAAGCTTCCTTGTGCAGGCATGAACACTTCGCCAACACATGTGAATGCACCGCCCTAGCTGCAATCCGCAGTGTCCGACACTTCTGGGTGATGGCCGAATTACGAATGTTGGGGCTTTGGATCTCAGGGTTTAGCTTCAGTTCATCTTGAACCAATAGTAATGATGTCATACCCTACTCATAGGCTCAATAGTAGTTCTTGTTGGCATTACCTTGTAGGATTCTAAATATGAACCCCAAAAAAGAACTACTATGGAGCCTATGGACACTTCGTAGAAACGGAGGTGCCTGAGACTGCACCCGCCGCCGGAGAGGGCGCCCTTCCTGCGGCGCCGCGGTCCTCGGGCGAGGCAGGGATCCCGTTATTGAGGTGAGGGTTTAGGGTTCCTTTGCAGGGGTCTACAAGGGCTACTATAAGGGCTACTATGAGGATTTAGGGATATAATAAGCCCCAATAGTAGCGTTTAGGGCTCACCAGCAGGGATCTATAGGGATCCCTTTAATGAGATCCTTAAAGTGTTCTATATAAGGACTACTCACAGGATCCCGTCGTTGAGATGTGGGGTTTAGGGCTGACCAGTTACCTGAACCCCAAGGCTGACTTTGCTAAAGGAACATGAACACGTGAATGTACAGAAACACCACCCCAAACCCTAAACCCACAACCCCTAAACCGTACACCGTATACATATAAACATACAGATACAAACGGAACTCGCATTTCGGAGTCCTCAAGAGTGGGTGTTCTAGGTCGCAAAGGTAGCTAACACCACTGAGCGTCCACGGACCCATGTAACATGTGCGTGTATCTTTCATGGCCTCGAAACTAGTACATGGAAACCTTTTAAGGCCTAGGTGTATGCTCCGGATACATGGACCCTTGGGGTTTATTACACGGTATAGGTATAATGGTGCAGGGCCGACGAGCAGATGGTGCTTTATGCGGAGGAACCGGACTTCATAGAGGTTACCGATGCGGGCAATGTGCCAGGATGCGGATGCGAACTCTGTCTTCGCGTGACTGAGAAAATTTCTTCGTGTCCCCACTGCTCCGCCGGCACAAAGAACAAGCACAGTGCAGACTGTAATTTGCAGTCCTTTGCGTTAATGCACAAGTGATACAAGAACGTCTGCGACCTGTGCCTGCAAGGAATAGCCCACAACGCAGATGACTGACTGTCAAAAGAACTGGGGTTTAGGGCGTTGGGGTTAAGGTTTAGGGCCTAGTGTTTAGAGTTTAGGGCGCGGCACACATGACAAGTAGGTAACAAGGACGGTAGTAAAAAATGAGAGAACCCAGTTTGGCTGTTTATCTACACATCTTTCTATCTGTGAAACTATCCTGTTTTCCGCTGCCGCCCCATGGCTTTCGATTTGTTGAAGCTCGACGTTCGGCGCCCAGCCCCAAGCCCTAAACAGTCGAACATGACCTGAAACTTTAAGCAAGCAAAGGGTCCGGAATTGCAGAAGCTTCCTTAATGCGGTTTGAGCTTTTTAACTGAAGCTTAACGGGGTATTGGAGTCTCTGGTAAAGCTCTCTGATGGTGGCCCCCTAGACCCCTATAAGCCAAAATGCCTTAAGCCCCTAAGCCTTCTTAAGCCCTAAGCTGTAAATCCCAAGCCATATAAGCCCTGAAAAGTCCCGGCATGTCTACGTACGCACGTTATGTAACTATAACTAACTCCTTACTAAGCAACAAAGCACTGGTCAGACTTCCTGAACTGAAACACTGAAACAATCAGGGCTTAGGATTTGGCATTTACCGGAACCCTATAAAACCTGCCTTTCCAAGGCTCCTTCCTTTTTCTGTACACAAGTCCTGAAAACTGTCGGCTACAGTAGTCGTGGTCGTCGTAGTAGTAGTAGTAGTAGTAGTAGTAGTAGTAGTAGTAGCAGCAGCAGTAGTAGTAGTAGTAGAAGGTAGTCCGGGTAAGGTATAGGCAGCATAGGTTTCGATTTCAGAGGTCACACCGGTCACACCCTGCAAGCCCTCCCAAGCTTTGACAGGCAGCTCCTCCGTGGTTCATCAAAGGAAGTGGGGACCTAGAGGTGGAGTTCGGGGCTGAGGGTTGAAAAGGTTCAGAGTTTAAGGGGTAGCTGGGGTTTAGGGTTTAGGGTTTAGGGTTTAGTGGTTGACGGTTTGGGTGTTGGGTTAAGGGTTTGGGGAGGGTTTGTAAGCCAAAGGGCTTCGGGGTTGGGGGTTGGAGTTCAGGGCGCTTGAGGTTTTGAGGTGTCATGTGGCTTGGGTATCGATACGACTTTAGGCCTTGAGAGTTCAAGGGCTTTGAAGCTTTGGGGTATAGGTTTTAGGAGTTAGGGTGTCAGGGTCTAGGGGAGTTTACAGGTTAAGGGCTTGGGCATTGCAAGCATTCCCCTTACTTCAACTTCACTCCTGAGGTAGGACCTATGAGCGACACTACTATCAATTTTCAAAGGGCTTTTAGGGTGGGATGAGGGCAGGTAGGATAATCCCAAAGTAAGAGCCCTTGTACAAGGGATCCCTCGTCCTACCTCCCTTCATCCCGCAATCATTGTGAGGCCTCCAAGATGTAGACCCCCGAACCTAAACCCCTGCACCCAGAATTGCAAACGACCCAGGCTATACCTGAAGCTCCAGCCCCAAGGCTCCATGTATCCATCTTTCCCAAAGGGTCCCATGTCCCGATGTAGTAGAAGGTAGGGTTTCCATATTAGGAAATACTATTTATGACTTAGGGAAGTAACAGTACATAGGACCCTTTGGGTATGTACTTGGGCCTTGAAGTACTTATCCTAAGGGTCCAAGTACCCAAATAGTAGGGTTTCAAGGTCCAAAAGCTATTCAGAGAATGGATGTTGGGACCGAAAACCCTACTGTGTGGGTACTTGGACCCTCTGGACTATATAGGAGCCATTAGGAGCCAGCCTTTTTTTTAAGGCCTGAGTATATGCTGTATGGGTACATGGAGCTTTAGGGCAAAGCCTGGACTCATCCAAGCAAATCCCAGACTACTGGGCCAGGCTCCGCCAGGTTGCTGCACAGCCGAGGCTGGTGTCAAGGTTTCTGGGTTGAGAGGTTTGGGGTTTCTGGTCTCAGGGGTTTAAGGTGTCTGGTCAGATAGGGTTCTTTCAGAGAACTCATGCTATGAGTCCCGATAAGACTTCAGGTATGTTCCTGAATCCCGGGTTTTGGAGTCTCTAGGTTTTCTTGCTGGTGTATGAAGATTTAAGGCTAAACCTGAAACCCCTAGACCGTTATGGGTTGGAGTATGTTGTGGAGCAAGTGTGCCGTATCCGAAGCATGCCGGTTACAATTGGAAGGCCATTCTGTGTTTATGCTAGGTTCCTGGGTAGCTTTTAGCCTTTTTATGCGAGGGTCCCTTCATTAAAACCGACTAATAGGAAAATGAGTACCCGTACTATAAAGGGTCTACTCAGTCTACTCAGCAACCTAGGAGGAGACTTGCAGCTCTTTAGGCGCTCTTCAAGGTTCAGGATGTAGGTTGCTAGCTGTTTCGTTTCATACGGTTCGTACTGTACCCAATAAAACAAGTGTTCGGGTTTAGGGTTCCTATCTATTCAGGGTTCCACCTGGTGAGAACTAACAAAGTGCGAAGGTTGCGAAGCATGTCCGCCTACTACGAGTATGGAGCCATTCACCTGAAACCACAGGTGATGCAATATAGAAACCCAAATACATAATATTATGCCACACAACCCTTTTTCAAATGTCAAGGCTCCTATGATACTGCATCCTGAGACTTGCACCTAAGACCAATGCGATTGTAGTTGCATTCGCTATGCCGACGGAAATGCAGATGAGTGCAATCAGAGTCCTGGCACAGTCACAGTCAATATCACTGTTAGTAGGGAAACTATGAGGGCTCGTACTAGGGTGCTCACCTATAGTTTTGCATGTGTGTACGTATATATGTATATAATGATACACGTGTCTTAAGTTATTTGTATATACTGGTGTATTTGTCAATTTGCTTATACATTACGTTCATGTGTTTATCTGGGCTGATTTGGACCTGCATCTTGGCATTCATGATGTATGTATGCACGAATGTACTGTATGCCCTTGTCGTAGTGTCTGTCTGTTTGTTCGATCTTTTGTTACCATTTGAGTCATCGAACTACATAGATAGATTTAGGGTTTAGGGTTTCTGCACTCTTAGGACAAGCCCGGTACCCCAAACAGCGTAGATGCACGGCAAAAGATCGCCGCCAAACCTCGGGGATCCAAAATCCCTAGTGCTTTAAGTGCTATACCCTGTACTTAAGGGTTGGTTTAGGGTTTAGGGTTTAGGGGTCATAACCTACTATTTTGTAGGGCTGGGGCTACAAGTAGACTTTCAACCCTACACCCTGAACTCCAAGCCCAACCCTAAACCCGAAACCGCTCGTGGTGAAGCTTGGCTCAGGGCCCCCGGCCCCTGGCAGTCTGTCTGCTTAACTTTCGTACATCCCTTCCATACCTTCCATATTCCCGGCAGCTGCTAGCTGGGGAGATGTGCAACTTGGCACTGAAGATGCTTTTGGGTGCAGGGTTTGGGACTTTCGGTGTAGGGTTTGTAGGGCTTCTAGGGCATCTAAGCCTTAAGGGTTTAGATGCTTCAGTGCTTGATGATGCATCAATCATGCATAGTATAGAGCCCAAAACTACAGTTCTGAGGTCCTTCTCCCGACTATCCAAGTCCTCAAACCCTAAATCAGAATGGTTTTGTTGGCCTATTAAATTATACCAGAATAAGTATTATAAGGAAGCCCTACGTAGTAGAGGTAGTTATTCAGGCCCCTATATTGCCCAGCCGCCGTCTCCACTGAGTTGGTTCGTAGCTAAAGAAGTTTACGGCTGTGCCCATAAGTTAGAAGGGGCCCCCACCCTCCCAGGGCCCCCGGGAGGATCCAAAAAGTAGATCCCTTAATGGGGGTTCCTATAAAGTACCCTTAGTAGTGTAGGGCCCCAAATTAGGGGATCTACTTTCTAGATCCTCCCGGCGGTCTGGGCTGTAATAGTGGTATAATGGGAACACAATAGGGCCCTTATATAATCCTTATGGTCACTATTACACGGCGGGGGCAGCTTCTAACCCATGCGCCCCGTAGTAGTTCCTGTTTAGCCCCAAAGGGGAACTACTCTGTAGCCTATGGGTAGCTCGCTGTTTTTATACGAACAGAACCCGGGAACCCAAGAGCCCGAAACCCCTAAATCCCTAAACCCAACCTTCCATGGACACTCCGGACGCCCACAGCTGTGATCTCCAGAAGTGCTTACAATACACCCTGAATCAAGGTAATTGCCCCTAGGCTCCATAGTAGTTCCTTTTTGGGATTACCTTATAGGATTCTATATATGAACCCCGAAAAGGAACTACTAAGATGGAGCCTCGTAGCCAAAGACGATAAATTGAATTGAGCCCTGGGAATGGATGTACCTAACAACTGGAATGCTAAATCGCAAATCCTAGAACCGTTTACCCCAAGCCGTAGACCCTAGACCACGCCCTAAGTTAGGGTTTAGGGGTTTAGGGTTTAGGGCTGATTCAACCCTAAATCCTAATCCACCAGACCACAAAACCCTAACTTACGGCGTGGTTTAGGATCTTGAGGATGTTGAATAGGCCTTATCAAATCCTTAGTTTAGCCTACCGCCTCCCCCCTACCCTAGGGGTCCCTATGTTGAAGATGTTGAGGTTGATTCAGCCCCAAACCCTAAACATCTAAACCCTAAACCCCTAAACCCTAACTTAGGGCGTGGTTTAGGGTCTTGAGTTTTGAAGATGTTGAGGGTTGTCTCCGAAGAAGCTAAGGCCATGGTGGACGCTGCTTTCAACCCTTGCAGGGTCCTCAGCAGGCTACCAAAGGAGGCCTAAATAAGCACCTACAGGGTTCCTAGAATTCCTGTTAAAGGGGTCCATAACAGCATCTACAAGGGTATTATAATATAGGGGCCTTCATCATTACCTATACTTTTTGACGGTTCCTTTTTATAAATTGTAACCATACCAAAGGAGGCGCGATTAACTTGAAATGCTTTTTTTCGCATGTGTTCATCATCGTTTAATTCTGTGATTTTTTGGCAATGTAACATGGTTTGGGGCTGCATCAATCATGTCCCAATAACTCTCTGTCCTGTTTTCTTGCACTATACTTGTCTAGGGTTGTGCACGGCCTTCGCAGGGTTGCAGAAAGACGCCAGAGCCGTTAGTAACACAGTAACAATCTCCCTGTCAGTGCGTACAGAGTTATAGTACCTCCCCCCCCCCCCCCCCCCCACGACCCCAAGCCCAAAGTCCAGTAGAGGTGCAGGTGTAGGAGTCTGGAATTAGTGCTTCAGCGCTTCACTTCAGGTTGTCAGGCTCCTCTAAGGACGGCGTAGGTTTCAGGGTTCAACTGTCGTTCATTTGTTGGGCTACTTTGGATTTTGGGGATCCACAGACATCGTCCACCAACCGCTACATCGGAAAGCGTAGTCTTAGGGAACGTAACTTGATTTATCATGACCTACTACTTTTTGCCATGTCCCTACAGCTTGTCATACCCTAGGGATCTAAGGACTTATATATTAAGGCTTTTGGGCCCAAAGACCATACTACATAAGGCGTTTTGGGCTATTTTGATGTCCAGGGATATTCAGCTTCCACAGGAAGCTTGGGAGTTGCTCTGAAGCTTACAGGTGTTGTTGCTTTAGACTTTAGACGGAATACAAGCCACAGAGGACCACTGATAGGGGTGTAAGATATTACAATTGAAGCAGTAGCCCACATCCCAGCAAAACCCCAGCCGAATGCCTTCTGTGGAGAAGCAACGGAAACGGGGGCCACAAGCCCAAGGTTTGCATTTTCCGGACTCAATGCCGTTAAGGCCCACCCAAAACAGGCGCACCATCGCAAAACCCTCACTGGCAGTTTCGAGTTCTGGGTTCTACCTATAGTCTCCATTGTAGTTCCTTTTTTTGGTTAGCCAGTTTTATGGTTAGGATCCTTTAATAGAGTTTTTGGATAACCAAAAAAGAACTACAATGGAGACTATACGTAGACCCCGAAAAGTCCTGAGCCATCCTGAGCCCTACAGTACACCTTCAACTTTAAACCCTAAACCCCAAACTGTCAACCCAAGCCCCAAACCCCTGATCCCTAACCCATCAAACTTAAACCCTAAACCCCAAAACCGTCAACCCCAAGCCCCAAACCCCACAGTAAACCCCATAAAGTTGGAAACCGGATTAAGGCCAAATAGTGCAGGGTTTCCCTATACCTGACTCTTATAAGGATTGAGGCTATGGGGTTTCCTATTTTCGGGCTTCTACTGCGACCCTCCCCCAAAACCCTAAACCCTAAACTGTTATGGACGGAGCCTTTATAGATCCCTAAAAGGAATCCTTATGGATCCCTTAAGTAAGCCCCAAACCCCAATCCCAGGTTCCTCCTTGTGCAATGCACGCTGCTAACGCAAGCCAGCGGTGATCTCAGGAGTTTTGACGCAAGAGCTGTGTGGACCCGTGGTCTAGCCATCTACTATAGGGTTGCTAGGCTTCCTTTCAAAGGGTCTATAAGGTTTTTTTGGGGATCTATAAGGGTGCTACTGGTACAATATAGAAACCTTGGTGATTACGTATAGTATTTTGGTGGTGTATATATATATATACACATATTTATTTTTTTATTTATTTATCTATGTATGTATGTATTTATTTATTTATAGTATATATAATGGGCCCCAACCCTATTCTACTTCTTAACGCCCCTACGGTAGGGTTTGTATGTTGCAGGTTTGTCTTCAGTTCCCCAGAGGGTCTATCTGTGTGCTGATTACTGTTGTGGAGTCACTCAAAAAAGCCAAAAACTAAACTCTACCTGTAGCCAAAAAAACTCTACACTCTGCACTCCACAGAACCCGGTAGCTTTTCTAGGCGTTCTGGGATTCGCCACTTGGCCCCGGAAGATCACCTGTAATATGGGGGCCTGAAAAAAGCAATAGTACCTATAGTCTCCATTGTAGTTCCTTTTTTGGGTTAGCCAGTTTTATGGTTAGGATCCTATAATAGAGTTTTTGGTTAACCAAACAAAGGAACTACAATGGTGACTATAGGTAGTGTTCAAGGTTCCTGAAGATTCAATTGGTGAAGGTTCCCGCCCAAGGTCGATGCGACGGTAGCTGCCAGCCAAAGGTTGAAAGCAGAATAGCACCTGTTGGCATATAGTGTGCTCATGAGCCCGGAAATTCAATCCCTATTCAATCCGCGCTGGGCTAGTCTACGGAACTCGAGGCTGCAACAGCAAGGATCCCGTATGGTGTAGTGTCGAGGTTTAGGCTTAACGGTTCGGGTTTGAACGTCTAAATCTAAGGGTTCAGATTTATGGGCTTAGAGTTTTAGGGTTAGGGGTCGAGGTTTTGGAGGCTTATGGTTTGGGAAGCTTGAGTATTCAACCCCAAACCTCACAGTCCTGGAGCCTGTGCAGATTCAGAAGGTCACCTATCCTCCCAGTCGACACTGAGCACCGACGACCACCTCGACAGGCCGAAAGAGACCTTCACGGTTTAGGGTTTAGGGTTCAATCTACACAGATTTCCGGCATTGGCTCGTCTTGGTTGCTGATGGTGGGAGACCCAAAGCGCAAACCCGAAATACACCCTTCACGGAAGGGCTTTGTCGCCTGCGTTTGGCTGAGCTTGCGCCCTTGCCCTGCAGCACCCTACACCTTATCCCGATCCCGTTCAATTCCAAAAAGGCGCGTGTACACAATACCTGACTTGCTCTTATGAAAAATTTGAATACTACCATTTAATGTCTTACGAGTCTTACGAGCATTATGATTTTGCTTCGTCTTAGTATTCTTGTTACGACTGTAATCATTACTGTTATTGTTAGTGTTGTGGCCAGTGTTGTTTGACTCTTGGTACTATTGCTATTACGAGTCTTATCTTCTTCTACGTCTTCGCAGCATCGCACATAATTGCGCACTGACAGACACATGTACATACATACATACATACATACATACATATATATATATATATATATATATGAGAGAGAGAGAGAGAGAGAGAGAGAGAGAGAGAGAGAGAGAGAGAGACCATAGTGCTTTATACTTCACCCTAGACCTCAAGCCCCTGCATGACATATAAGTGTAACTACAGGTCTCTAGGGACCCATCTGTCATTCAGGGCTTTCGGGCCGACTTCCGTACATGTACATTGGAATACCATTATCGTAACCCCTTTAAGGTCAATTATAGGGGATCCTACCATTAATCCCCGTACCTGCCATGTAGCTCCCCAAGGGTCCAAGTACCTAATCACATAATCATATACTCTCCAAAATCCTGACCTACATAGCTATTTTCCCAATACCGATTACCGTATTATTGGGTCCTTTGGACCCTTAGGGGTTGTTTTGGAGGTTTTTTAGTTCTTACAGCTTACGACATAGGTACATGGACAAACCTCCATCGTTTTCGGCTGGGGGGTTGATAATGTGGGGTTTAGTTCAGTGCATGCACCATCATATAAGGTCCTGTAGTGACTATAGGGTCTCTTGGTTGTTACTGCGGCAGCTGGAATGTGGAAGTTACGTAGATTGAGCTTGGCTGTTGCTAGTTTGAACCTTACCCTGAATTCGCGTTATTTGCGAAGTCCCATGATGCTTCAAACACCTCTTGGCACGTTTTTAGGGTTTAGGGTTTAGGTACTATAGAGGTCGGAGTCATGGGACGTGCGTATAGTCACTCTGAAGTCGTACTTGAACCTATCCCAGCCCAACATCCAGTTCTGCTTTTGAGGTCCCTATATCAGCACCCGCGGTAGCTCCTTTAGGAAGCATGCAAGTACACCGATGCCTCCCGGACTTACAGTAATCGCTAAATGTTTTTACTATTCTATAGTATCGAACATTTTTTGTTCATGTGAATACAAGATGCAAGAGAGCAAAAATGTCATTGTTATTATATGATTCAGCGGTGGATATCGTATAGGTGTGGAGCAAATTCCCCAAACCAAGAACGTCAAGAGTATGTCAAAGATGCAAGCCATCGCGAGAGACGGCAAGCATTTGCGAAAGTGGTCTTGTTGCAGGTTTAGGTTTAGGGTTTAGGGGTTTAGGGTTTAGGGTTTAGGGGTTTAGGGTTTAGGGTTGTGCATTGCAGCTTAAGCCCCCAAAACCCTAAATATACAAGCGAGATAGCACGACGTAGCCGACACATATTTTCAAGGGCCCACTGCGTCAACCGGGGAGACCTTCTGAAGCTGCTGTGTCAATTAGCCTTGGGAACGGCCAATACACATGCCTGAATCTACTCATAAGTCTCATAAGGCCACTTTCTACGGTGTTCTAAGCAGTACTGCACCCAAAACTCTTCAATCTTGCGATCCCTAGGGGTTCTCCCCATATCGTATTCCCTGTGTAGGTACTTCACGGCCCGTGTATTTACTATACGGCAACGTGGACCCTTAAACCCCAAACCCCGAACCCTTAATGGCACCCTGAAAGGAACCCTTTTTGAAATCCTTACAGGACCCTACATCAGCACATGGACCCTTAGCGAACTGCCCCTCCAGGATGCACGAGTATGTCGTCGATGACCATGGGAAGACCTCCTTGCTGGCCAACAGCGCGTTGATGCGGCGCGAGAATTTAGCGGGTTGGACGCAAGAAGGGTTTAGGGTTCAGGGTTTAGGGTTGGATGCCACAGGCTGTAACATCATGTGCCCTTTCCAATCATTAGACAAATTAGATGGCTACTATCCTCAGCCCATTGCAAGTACCTTACTATCAGGCCTTTAGGGCTAGTTGCTATGTCCCATGATCCATCATGTAAAGCCCCGAACCTAAGCTGGAAAATTCATCAACCCGATGTTCTACTAAATCCAACAACCCACAATCCGAGAGCCCTTCAATCTCAAAATCTTCAACCTTCGAACCCAATGCTAGACCTTAAAGGCCTTGTAAGCGTGATAAGTTATAAGCCCCATAAAGTGTGGAACCCCAAACCTTTCGCCGCCTAAGCTCTACAACCGCCTAGTACCATTGGAACGAACCATTAGAGACGCCCAAAACAAACACTAAACCAGGATTCTATTTAGTAGCTGAGTAGGTGAGAATTAACCATTAGAAACCCCCCAAACAAACGCTAAACCAGGATTCTATTTAGTAGCTGAGTAGGTGAGAATTAACCATTAGAGACGCTAAACCAGGATTCTACTTAGTAGCTGAGTAGGTGAGAATTAACCATTAGAGACCCCCCAAACGCTAAACCAGGGTTCTACTTAGTAGCTGAGTAGGTGAGAATTAACCATTAGAGACCCCCCAAACAAAAGCTAAACCAGGATTCTACTTAGTAGCTGAGTAGGTGAGAATTACCCATTAGAGACCCCCAAAACAAACGCTAAACCAGGATTCTACTTAGTAGCTGAGTAGGTGAGAGTTAACCATTAGAGACCCCCAAAACAAACGCTAAACCAGGATTCTACTTAGTAGCTGAGTAGGTGACCTTTAACCTTCTGGGGTTTATATGATCCTACCATAACTCAATTGAATGGGTTCGGCTGCTTTTCGGCTAGGGTACTCAGCCCCTACAGTAAACCCCAAAAGTTAGCAACCGAATTAAGCACAAAGAGTGCTGGGATCAGTGTTTTGGGCTTCTACTGCAACCTACCGTAAACCCTTGTTGTATCTTATAGATCCCTTAAAGGAACGGAGTTCCAAGGGAACAAACCCAGGTCGCCGAGCCTGGGTCCAAGCAGCTCACCAGCAGGCTCAAGAGCTTCCTGCGAAGGAAGATCGAGGCAGCTTGCCTTAGGTTATAGGATCCTTAAGTGAGGGTGGTTCAAGGGGAGAGGGTATAAGGAATCCTTAGGGGACTGTAAGGGAACATTAGGGGGTACTAGGGAGGATTAGGGAGGCGGCTTTAAGGGCTTTCAGGGTTTAGGAGTTCTATAAGGGTTCGTTTAAAGGGATCTATAGGGGATCTATATAAATACTATAAAGGGTACTATAAGGGGTTTACGGTTAGGCCTTACTTGGAGGATCATGGGACTTAGTAATTAAGGTTATAAGTACCTTAATTGGGGTTATAAGTACTTAGAAGTATAGTTACCCTAATTATAACCCTAGTTACTAAGTCCCATGATCCTTTAAGTAGGGTTGAGGGTGTAGGGTTTATGGTTTATAAGGCTGAGAGCTTTGGGTCTAGGGTTTGCAGAGTTGAGCGTTTAGTATTGGGGTTAAGGCACCCAGACCTCCAACAATCCATCAATTAAGGAAGATACCCCAACTTATTATAGGGATCCCTGATATAGCTTGAAGCTTATTTATTTATTGAGGGATTTTGGAAGATCGAGGCAGCTTCGCGGGCATTCAGTGCCACAGAAGATTGAGATGTAGATGTGTAGTTGTATTTGTACCTACGTTTGTGTTTACATTTATACAGGTACTTGCATTCATTTTATTGGTTTCATTTATAGGGTTTTCTATTTTCGATCAAAGGGTCTAATCGAGAGGGTCTTGGGGCTGTATAATGGGTTTCCAGGGTTTAGTTGTTTTTGTTCAGCTCCATTGTCGTGTTGGGGCCTGCAAGACAGCCATTCAGGGAGTTATAAATAGATACACCTATATAGGGTTTTGCAATTGAGCTGTGGTATCTTGGGCCAGTCATTCGTGGGGGGCTCTGCAAGGAGTTAAGGTAGGGCCCCTCAACCCTAAACCCCATTAAACCCCTAACGGGTCTGAGAGGATAGTATAATATACCCCAAAACCCTATTCTAAATATCACGGCCCCTACAATAAAGTACCCTTCTTATAGTAACCCTTTTAGGCCGCTTTAAAGGAACCCTATTCTAGTTAGCGCTCCTACAGTTCGTTGGAGGGTTTCCGAAAATAGGGGGCCCTAATATAGTACCCTAAATAGTAGGATCCTTATTAGAAAGACCCCAAAATAAGGTGCCCCGAATTTTTGGAAACTCCCAGATGGCAGGAGAGAAGCCGTGCCCGACGACTTCTCGCAGAGGCAAATTCCCCGTACCAGCCATCGCTCTTCGGCGAGGATTTGGGTGCTCTTCGATTAGACATAGCCCCAAGGGTCCAAGTACCTAATAATCGTATACTCCCCAAAATTCTGACCTACATAACTACTATCCTGAAACCGAGTACCTAATTGTTGGGTCCTTTGGACCCTTAGGGTAGGTTAGGAATCCCAAAAGCACATAAGGAGAAGCATGTTGTGGGGATATCCCTACCTTGTTCATGATAAAGGGGGTTTATATGGGATATCCCTGTCCTAATTGTTGCTTATGTGGTTGTTTCGGGCCCTATTGGGTGCTCTTCGATTAGACATAGGGGACCTAAATCATGGGGTTCCTAGGGTTCCTTGAAACGGGTCTAGAAAAGGGCTATAAGGACTCATGGAGCTTGGGGTTGAGGGACTAAGGCTTTGGGGTTTAGGATACTTGTGGATTCGATTTTCGGGGTTTCGGATTATTGCTCATCTGCCCCGAGCTTCCAAAATCCTTGAATAAGCAATGTCGCTTGAAGCGTGGTGGGAGCTCTGATATGACTTCTTTAGTTGAATAAGCTTGGAGCCTGAATCAGAGCCCTCCCCCGAACCTTAAACTCTAAAACCCAATGCCCTCAGCCTCTAAACTCTAATAGCAAACCTTAGACCCCCCAAACTCCTAAACCGCACACCACAAATCCTAATAACCTGTTGCATTGCGTAGAACCTCCACACAACCCTTTCACAACCCTTATGAAATCTCTGTAGAACCTCAATGTAACTCCTCAAAGACCCCTCATGCAGCCGTGAGAATGTAAGAGTTTCAGATCTCTGGCTGTCAGGGGCCCTACACCATGGACCAGTCGGTTTGGTTATTAGGGATTCCGGGGCTTTACTTAGTAGCTGAGTAGGTAACCGTTAACCTTTTGGGGTTTGTATCATCCTACCACAGTTGAAAAAGTTACCCTTTTACAGTAGAAGCCAGAAAGTTGGAATATCATTATCGTAACCCCTTTAAGGTAAATTATAGGGGATCCTACCATTCATCCATATTCCAACTTTCTGGAGTTCCCTGTATGGGCTCGGGTACCCGGGTACCCAGCCCCTAAGTTCAGGGCAGCGGGCTTCGGCTATACAGTTTTTGAGATGCTTAGGGCTTAGAGCTGAGTAAATCTTATGAAACCCTTCAATGAACCCCTAAACTAAAGGAAGTGAAGGCATGGACCCAGACTTTAACCCCAGAAAGTAAAAGAAGCCCTTGGAGGAACCAGCCCAAACCCTAAACCCGAAAGCCGTGAAAGAAGCTCTTCGAAGGCAGCACCTTACACATTATATTCTGAGAAGAAAGATTCCATGGTGCGCCAAGGACGCCCAAACCCTAGCCCAAAGCTCTTGAACCTCTAAGCCCGCTAAACCCCTAAAACTATCGTAAAGTTTATAGTGCCTAAACGTCGCTGAACCTGATGCCCAGGGCTGAAACCCTAGCCTGACCGGATCCCAAGGGACACTAAACCCTGAACTGCGGTTGATTATATATATATATATATATACACACACACATATATATATATACATATATATATATATATATATTTATTTATTTATTTATTCATTTACTTATTTATTTATTTATTTATTTATTTATAACCTGCATTACCCAAAATAAGGAATACACCATAATTCACACAGTTTAGGGTCCTGAAGGTAATGCAGGATGTATATCATGTCCTTAAGGTAATGCAGGATTCATGTCATCAACTGTAAAATACCCGGAAGATGGATCCCAAGGTGTGCCAAGCTCCCGAACTTCAAGCTGAAGGGAAGCACTCCGATGCTCTACAATGCCGGGTCCTAAAGGGCCCAACCAGGACGCCCCCAATGGCACTTTAATTGAGCCCTTGTGGTATGGTATAATAGAGGGTAGTTTGGGGGGTCTAGGAAAGGAGAAAGGATTCAATACTTTGGTATTTGAGTTTTCCTTATAGAAATGATGTAGGTTAGCATTCAGGAGAGTATTTGATTGATAGGTACTTGGACCTTAAGGGGATTGCCCAGGAACTCTCAGGGGGCCCCTATGTTCATGTGCGGCTTACGACTGTTACGGCTTAGGGCTCTCTACTCTGCCGGAGTTGCCCAAAAACTCCCAGACAAAAATTCTCGGAACTCCGTACATCAGGGGATGTTACACCGAGGTTATGGCCTTGAAAGTTGGGCTCATGAAGGGTTTGGGCTTTCGGGTGTTGGGGGTTTCAGGGCTTTAGTCAAGATCTAGGTCTAGGTGTATTATGGCTGCAGGGTTGCTGTTTATTCTAGGGTTTATAGGCTTTAAGGTTTAGGGGATACGTCTTGCGACATATCAGTTGCCTACCGCTTTTTTGGAAGGTTTTGCAAGGGGTTGAGAAGCACCCTGCTGTTAATTTCAGCATCCCGACTGAAACCGAACTTGAAGGGCTGCGGGAAGGGGGGGGAAGTGTAAATCAGCTCGACGCGGCTATAGGTTCTGGCAGGGTTTTACGCTTGTGCGCTCGCGGGTCGAGGGTCTAGGATGATTCAGGTTCAGGGTAGCGGTTGTCCTCTGATTGTCATCACTCCTGTGATTGAGTGAGTGAGTGAGTGAGTGAGTGTTATTCTGGCTGCCACGATTGAATGTTTGAAGTCATAATGGTCCAAGTGTTCCTGGAAGGTTCTGCTACGAGATCGCGAAATCCCAGGATCAGTCGTAAGCAAACCCCAAAGAAGAACCAGGCCGGCACTACCGTGGCTGCCTGCATCGCAGGCACGATGCTCCTGGTTCAGGTATCTAGATTTCGGGAATCTCCCGCTTTCCACGACCATGTATAGCAATGACCCACTATGCACTGTCACCTGTTTCCCAATAGTGATAATCTTGGAAGACCACGTTCTTGAATGTAGGTTTTTAGGATCTTCAAAGCATTTCAAGCCCAAGAACGGTTTCCGGAGCATCCTTGAAACCACCGAGTCTGTGTCGACCGCCTTCTAGAGGTGCACTGCGGCAAATGCGGCAAACCTCGAAACCCCGGTTACGGGTTTAGGTCTACATAGGGTTTAGGGTAGTTTAGGGTCCTGAGCTCATAGATACTTGGGGTGGGTTCTCACATTGGGGATACCCCTTTTCGTAATTTTTCCTGAAAGTACCATATGCCCTCATTTCGCGCTGTGGAAACGGAGGCCCATCGGCCAAAACAAAACGTTGGCCCTCGTTCAGGCTTTCCGGGTTTTCGGCTATTTGGGTTAATACGGTTTAGGCTTTATATCGAGCATCTCAAAACACATGACAACATGTAACACTACGAACACTAGGCGTACTCGCATTTGAGAGCGCCGTGGAGGGTTGTGGTATAGTATCATAGCCGCAAACCTTCACCAGCCTGCTTGGAGGTTCGTCGGTAGTTCTACGCAGGGCTCAAAAATAGGATGACTATGGTTATAGCCATTTTTTCGGAGAGTTCTGGCCCGATTCTATAACTATCCATGAACCTCTAAGTATGCCCTGTGCCTTCGCCAGCCTTAGACCTCCGAAGCCATAGTGCACACCAGCAACTCGATAGGCCCTTGAGGATAAGACCCGCAATTCTTTCATTCCCGTTGTGGAGAGTTGTGGAGTTGTTGTCACGGTCCTTCAAAAGGAACGGCCATTGGGCGGCATTTCCTCATCAGGAGATCCTGAGAAGCGAAGCCTTCAACCCGACCCCCAGACCAAACCCCGACCCTAAACCAGAAGCACGAAACCCTAAACCCCTAAACTCTAATTCCCTAAGCTCTAAACCCTAAACCCCTAAACCCTAAACCCCTAAACTCTGAACCCCTAAGCCCTAACCCCGAAACCCTAAACCAAGCCAAACCCCGTGTCTCTGAGGGCGCTGATGTTAGGATCCCAAATGGAGTCCGTGCTAGGGAGTATGGTATGTTGAACAACTACAGCCCAGACACCCGGCTTTTGGTCGCTGCCCCCAGGCCCTAAACACCAAACCCATAAACACTAAACCATATAATTAAACCCAAAACCCTGACGCCTAAACTTAAGACTAGTGCCCTACTGAAAACATGGATGCATAAACCCTGAACGCTAAACCAAGATGACCCTAGATCCACGCGTTTGGCCCTGGCTTGCATTGCAAGGCTGCCGTAAAAGCATAAGCATTTTAGCAGGACATCCTTACCTTATTGGGCTTCATGATAAGAGGGTTTATATGACCCTACGCCCTAAAACCCTAAACCCTAAAACCTTAAACCCCTAAATCTAAAATCTTAACACCCTAAACCCTAAAGCCCTAAAACCTCAAACCCAAAGAACCTAAAACCCTAAAACCCCCTAGACCCTTTTTTGGGGGCGGCCCTGGTTGACCCCTGGTCCAGCAGGCTGCCGTCCACGACAGAATGTGGCCAAAGGGAGTCGCTGGGTCGTGCAAAAAGTGCGGGTTTGGGGTCTATAGGGTTTAGGGTTTAGGGTTTAGGGTTTTAGGGTTTAGGGTCCATTTGGTTTAGGGTCTATAGGGTTTAGGGTTTTAGGATTTCGGGTTTTTAGGGTTTCAGGCGGACTAGTCAGCCCTACGCCCAACAAAAGACCTGACCGTCCCTATCCCTACAAATTTCAGTTCACCGATGTAGATTTGCCCACCGTGGCTGTGCGCACGTCAATTTAGGGGCTGTGGGTTTAGGGTTAGATCCCACAAAACCTTCCTTTTTAAGGACTTATACAAGGTTATCAGAATGAGAAACCTGAGGAACATAGGTTTCTGAGGCCCTAAATAATTACAAATACTTGTTCGGAGGGTTCCTTCTTATAGTATACTATAACGGGCCCAAAACCCTATTCTAAGTGTTCAGGCCCCCTATATTAGAGTCTAGGCATGGCCCAGAAGTGGAGGCAGGACAGAATCAGCCAAGGGTGGAGAGGGGCTGTCGGATTCTACCTGTACCTGTTTATCCCTGCGGATCAAAGCAGCCCAAAAGCCTTATGTTATAGTTCCCTAAGGCTCCTAAGAGGGTCATGGGATTTCTGGGGGAGGGTTTGGGCTTTGGGGACTAAGGTTTGGGATCTCCCTGTGAGGGTCCAGGAGCATTAGGGTAGCTGTGTAACTATCTGACCATTTCAATCAGCAGCAAAGCCCTAAACTTTCGATCGCTTCGAACAGCATTCCCTCGGCCGCTCGGCCTTGGACGACTTCTGTCCAAGGGTAAAAGGAGGGAACTTTAATAAGGACCCCTAGGTATATACCCTTAATATAGCTATTATATACCCAGTATATGGCCCATTATAAGGTAGGGGTCCCCATTAAGCGTCCCTCCTTTTCCCCTTTGAGTCTGGATAAACTGCAGTGAGGAGCTGCAGATGGCATGACGGCAGTGCCCGGGATTATCTCGTACGATTCTAGGAGCCCTCATGACAAGCCTTCATCTAAATCCATTATATACACACCTTGTTTGAAAAGCCTCTGTATAGGAGCTCTTAAAGGAGCCCCAGCCCTGAGCCGTACCGAAACCCTAAACCCCAAACCCTAAACCCTAAACTAAACCCAAAACCCTAAACCCTACACCCTAGACTCTAAACCCACACGACCGCGACGGCCCAGAAACGGCAAGCGGCAGCCGGAACACCCGTGGCAACGGGCCGGCTCGCGCGTTGGACCCGAAGGGGGGGGAGCGTTTATAGGGCTTAGATGAGGGAGTCGGGGGTTGGGGTTTGCGGCTTAGACGTCGGGGTTTAGGTTGTTGTTTTTGGTGGTTTGAGGGTTGAGGGTTTGAAGTTGCTAGAATGCCGAGGATCCTGGAAGGGAGCAGTGAGTCTGGACTGCTGTCCACATGAAAATGATGCTTATAAGCTCCTCCACTACTCCAGTCCCCCTCAAACTGCCTTAAAAGACCCTGAGAGGACCCTTCAAAGGAACCTTTAAAGGATACTTCTAGTTTCTAGCTCGAAGGCTCGACTCAGGGTTTACCCAGAAGTTCAGCGTACCCTAGGTTTAGGGTTGCGGTTAGTTGTTTGGTGCTGACCGCTGCAAACCCCCAACGTAACGACCCGGCGAGGACGGCAATGCGAGGACGCAATTTGTCAGTGCTCGGATGAGCGATCCTTATTGGCAGGCCGGGATTTGCCAGAGTGACACAGGAATAGAACGAATAGGTCCTTCGTCAAGGTATGGAGACCCATATGATTTGCATTAAGGTCCCTAAACCCTAAATCCACAAAATGCGGCACGTCCTTCATTGCATAACCGGGTGGGCTATCAGTGTTCAACATGAACCAGGTCGACCTCGGCGAGGAGAGAGACGTTGGCGAAGTGACTTTGGGCAATTTGAAACTCTTTCAATTCGGAGCTCGTTTAGGACATCTGAGTTTACCGTGAGGGTTTAGTGTTTAGGGGTTTAGGGTTTAGGGGTTAGGGGTTTGGGGGTTTAGGGGCTCAGGGTTTAGGGAATTAGGTACCGAAAGGCCATCCGTATTATGGCTTGGGGGACCTAGTTCCATAACCCAATTCCATAACCCTGGGTATCAAAAGAGCCCCAAAGCCGTATATGTTATGGTCTTTGGGCCCAAAAGTCCTTAGATCCCTAGGGTCATGTTAGTGTATATGGACCCGCTGGGCCAAATCTCCAACCTGCAAGCCATTCTTCGCCCCAACCTTTATCTACGCATAGGCTCCATAGTAGTTCCTTTTTGGGATGACCTTCACGCCCAAACCCTAGACCCTAAACCCCAACCCCTTAACCTCAAACCCAAATCCCCTAACCCTGGACCCTAAACCCTACATCCCTTATCCCAAACCCCTTATACCCGAGACCTCCAAAACCCCTAAACCCTCAAGTATAACAAAAAGTCCTAGACCCGTAAACCAATAAACCCTAAAAGCAGCGAGGTATCCGAAGATCAGGTACCCGAAGATGGACCCTAAGTTCGAAAATTCATGAACGTTCCTATAATGAAATGACCCTGCATTGTTGGGCCAGTAGTGTTCTGAGCCCCCTTACAGACATTGCGGCATTTAAGCTCAAACTGCTGGCTTTGGGGCCCGGGCATGAGTCGCCGGGTTTCGTATCAGTGGTGGATGCGCATATGTCGCTGCCTTAAAGGGAACTCCAGAAAGTTGGAATATGGAAGAATGGTAGGATCCCCTATAGTTTACCTTAAAGGGGTTACGATACTGATAATGATATTCCAACTTTCTGGCTTCTACTGTATGGGGATACTAGTAATAATCAGCCCTGGCATGGTGGTTTGCTATGTATTCTCAGCTCAAGAAACACCACATGGTTGTCTGTAACAGTGGGTAAACGTATCCCCACAGCTTTCCCTACATTCTTACACCAACAGAACATATTCAAATACCTGTAACGTACCCCCCTTACCCCCGATGAATGTTCATGATGCGGCCGAAGACGAAGAAAGGCCTCGGTGCGCAGTTGCACCCGTACCCTAAGGGTCCAAGCAGTCCTCATTTATGGTTTTTGGTAACTTACCCAAAATGACGCCAAAGTCCTAAAATGGGGAGTACTTGGACCCTTAGGGATAGGGTTCCAGCTTATACTTCGGAACCACCTCTAGTTTCGATTGTAGCTCCTTCTTTTCGTTGACAAAAGTTTGTGTACGGTTACAGTAATATCCTACACTAAGGCCCTAAAGTAGTTCTTTTTTGGGGTTCATACTTAGAACCCTATTAAGGTAATCCCAAAAAGGAACTACTTTGGGGCCTATGGGAACAAACATGCCGGGAAAGCAGCGTTCGACCCCTTGGGGTTGCAAATGGTTCATGACACACACAGTGGCGGGTGCATCTGCGATGATGCACGGGTCCGACAATCCTCACCAAACAGAGGTCTTAAAGATGTTGGTTGTAGGGAACTTGCATCGTTGCGAAGGCATTGTTGAATTTTTCGGCGGCCCCATTTTCGTGTAGACGTGCCCAACACTCACGAAATCACGCGAAATCTGACCATACCATGTGCAAAAGCAGTTCTCTAAACTCTAAAACTTGGTGCTCAGCGCCTGGTTCCAGTTGATTTCGCATCTCGTGCAGCCAAATCCGCATTCCGTCACTAGATCTTCATCTTTCACCTCGCTTCGTTCTGGGCCCAGGGTTACAGTGAACCCCAGAAAGTTGGAACATGGTTTAAGGACGATTAGTGCTGGGATTCCCTAAGCTTTACCTCAAGGGCATGAGGATAATGTTCCAACTTTCTGGGTTCTTTTTTACTGTTCTTCAACTGACTTGATTTGGATGACGTGTTCGGGTGGAGACCCCTTGCAATGCGAAAGGTTAGAAGTGAATTTATTGGATCACGTTTCAGAAGACATTTCGTCGGGTCATGAATCCCCAAAACTGCATGACATGTCCCTCTACCCTGAATCGTAAGGGACTTCGCGACACTGCAGTCAGTACACTTTTTTGGATGTGACCCTATGGGTCCATATGCCCATCAGGATTCCTGTAATGAGTTCCTTTAACGGTACCATCAACAATACAAGGGTTCAGGGTTTAAGGTTTGAGGGTCCATGTACCCGTACTGTACATATTCTTTACTTTGGCCCTGAGGCCAAAATACATATGACATGGAATGTGGACCCTTAAGCCCTAAAGTCTAAACTTGTGTGGTACCCGTAAAGAAACCCTCAAAGTAGCCGGTAAAGAAACCCTTATGGGTACATCGACCCTTAGGGTCAAGGATCCTTGTGCTGGCATGTTTTTAGTGCCCTGACTTGCTGCGAACTTCCTATGTTGCATCATGTAGACCTTTGGATGCACCCTTGATGTTTAAATCAGGGCTTGGTGGCTTTGTGGTAGTAGAACAATATACGAACTGTCGTGGGTTCGCTGTCTACATCCACTCCGGCGGGGGGTCCTTTCCCAAGCGATCCCCAAGCAGCGCTGAGGTTTACCTGTCCTCCAGTGTCACGATGGCCGGGGTTTCTGTTGGCTTGCGCGATGCAGCTTGTGTTGAGGCCTGACCCTGGCCGTTTGAGAAGATCTCAGAGGTATGTATATTAGGAAGGCTTCTGTATGGTCTTTTCTTGAGGCCTGATGTTACACCCGAAACCGGCAAGGCTTTGGCGGTTCATGTTTTCGCCTGTCGACTTGAGGACATTTGTGAACCGAGCATCGCAATCTGAATTCGCCGGTGTGTAAACCTGAAGCCGGGTAGGGTTTAGGATTTGGGGTTTTACTTTTGCATAAAGTCCCCCTAACCTGCCTTGGGTGTAGCACGGGTTTTACCCTTGAACCCCACAGTCACAGACCCCAACACCTCGCCAGAGGTGAGCTACAGTGAATAAGAGTGTCTGATTAGTTTTTTGCCGCCCCCCCTTGCCATTCTTAAATAAGAGCGAACAGCTCTGCCACCCTTATTGGCAAAGCTACGAAATCTTATTAAGGATCTGAATACAACAGATAGTATCCCTAAGGGTTTTTTCTGTTTATAGTATTATACACTCTACCCAAGGGCCCTACTGTAGATGCATCCAAGAAGTCGTGTCTCAGCTGCAGCCGCACGGAAGCGCCCACACACTGTTCAGGGCCTAGCTTGAATTTGGATGTGTGGTTTAGGATTTAGCAGGAAGTCGTGCCAGTTTCGTGGGACTTGGTAAGGTTTAATAGGTTTTAAGGTTTAGGGTTAGGGATAAAATAAGGATCCTAACATGAAGGCCAGAGAGTCGGGCGCCTACGTTCCCCAAAATCCCTTGGAACCCACAAGGAGGCCCCGCCCTTATGAAAAGGACCCCCTAATTTCATAACCCTGTAGCATATATTTTGGCGCTAAACTACCTAATACAGGGATTGCTTTAAGGCCAACATGTATACTAAACAGGCACATGGACCCTCAGGGTATTCATTTGGTGCAGCCTGCGAGGCGACTACTACGACAACAACGGCGTCGACTTCCACAACCTCGACAACAGAAGCTTCTGAGGACAAAACCCTAAACTAGCCATCGATTTGTACTACTGCATGGTTCGTTTCACTTATCGTAAGCGGGAGCCCTAGAGATATAAGTACCCTAAGTGGGCTTACAGCAATTACAACCGTACTTATAACCTACTCACTAAGTCCCCTGCCCCTCCAAGTAGTCCTGAAGACACAATTAACCCTATAGCCGAAGTACGTAATTGTCGCCCACTCCGGAAGACTTACCTACAAAGTACTTTTCCACATGCCAAGTAACTCATTACCAGTCTGGTTTCTTGGACTCTTCGGGGGATTTCAGGAATTTCTGTGGCGACCTGTGCAGCTGCAAGGCCATGCATGGATGTGAAGCAGGTTTATGCTTTGTACATGCAGTAGTAGCATTGAAGAAATCACACTAACTAGGGAAGCTGCTTGAATCCATGCACAGCGTAGACAGATAGGTATTCATTTAGATAGATGGATAGGTCGGTATTTAGATTCATGCACATCAGTAGACAGATAGATACATAGACATAGGAAGGCAGATAGGTCGATACACAGATAGGTATACAATCTGCACACCTGTGTTCGTGTATGCGTCAGCGGTCAGCGGGTGGGTGTGACTCGGGCCCGCAGGTTATGGGTCGAATATCTACCTGTATCCCCAAACCCTTCAAAATAGTTGGTCCTGAGCCTTTTTTTATCGGGTCTAACCCCTAAAGCAGTAGGTTTTTGGATCCGCAAGTAGGGTTTAGAGTGAGAGTCTCCGGTGTAGGGTCAACCTCAAGACTCCGAAACTTGAATGAAGCAATAGGCCTTAAAGTACAATGAACCTGGATGTGATTTAGTATATTCCTTAAGCAAGGAGTTTTGCAGCCTCTGTTGAGTTTACCTTTCCAGACAAAGCTGCACAGATGAGGACAATAGCAACAGCGGGCAGGACAGCGGCAATGCGCCCTGGCATTGTAGAGAGTGGTTCAGATGCGGCAGCTTCAGCCATTATGGACCCCAGCGAGTAGGATCCCGACTTCGGTGTATTATGTGGGAAGCGTGACCCTGGCCCCCTCCAGAAAGTCGCTTCTGAGCTGGGCATGTAATTTCGCGGGCCTAGAGTGTGGAGTCAATACTCAACCTTGTAGTTTAGTAGTAATCGGAAAGTTGTTAACCTCTTATTTCTGATCGGGAACCTGACCTGAACCCCTGAGCTTTCGACCGCTCACCCTCCTCACATTGATCCTCAAAGTTGCAACTTCTGAACTCTGGTCTGGATACGATACTTGGAGGGTCGGGGGGCCTTGTACATCCTTTAACATCGGGCCAGTCTGTTAGTTCAGGGCTCAGGATTAGGTTTTAGGGTTTCGTTTTTTTGTTTTAGTGTTTCCCTAAGGGTCCGGGTACTTAATACTCCATATACTCTCCCAAATGGTCACACACATAGCTACTATCCGAAACCTAAGGACCTAATTATTGGGTCCTTTGGACCCTTGGTGTTTTGGAGTTTGGGAGCTTAGGGGTTTGGTGCCTATTTCCCTGCAACCCTGCACAATGTTCATTCATTTTTTTCCTTGTTAGAGTAAAGTTCGACATTACAGGGTAGAGGAAAATAGAGAGAGAGTCTACATAAAAAGCACATCCCTACTTGCTAAGTACCTTGCCAAAGGGTCCTAGGTTCTGTTGTGGGGGATACTTCCCCAAATCATGATAGTATTTTCTAATATAGAAACCCTACATTACGCTATGAAGGTACTTTGGACTTTGGACCCTTTGGGCTTTATTCCTGATCCAAGTAGGAAAGAGCGCGGCTCAACACCGTAACCTCCTCGCGATGGCTTAGCCATGAACCCCAAGCCCACATACCGAAACAAAAATGACCGAACTTTTCACCAAGCCGAGAAATTCAACCTCAAGAAGGGACACACGAACTAGGCAACCAAGTAGTCCTTTACAGTCAATAAACCGTTCTGCAACCCTTTATAGTAACCTCCACAGTAAGTCTCACAGAAACTCATAAGCCTCAAAGCAGCCCTTGTAGTCACCCTACAGTGCTCGGCCGCAGACAGGGCGTTAGGCAGTGTATGGCCCAGAAAACCTCGTGCATAGGCACCTGGATTTCTAGGGAAAGCCTTCAATTAAATTTTAGCCGACAAAACCCTCAACCCTGAAACCCTCAGCCTTAAGCCGCAAAACAGTTAACCCTAAACAATCAAAACCTCAAAACTGAGCCCTAAACACTAACTTTAAAACCCTAAAACCCTCAGCCTTTAATCAAGGACGAAGCCGGCAGCAGCAGCAACACTGCGCCTCAGTGGAGAATTGGTGTCCTGAGCCTTGGGTTTAGGGTTTCGCGCATCTCGCAGCAAGAGCACGCACAAACCCCTAAGCCCTGAAACCTGGCGGTGGCAGATCTCCTTTATGGCGGCGCGCAGAAAAGCCTGAGGTTTAGGGCTGAGGGTCGAAAGTTTCGGGTTTCAGGTTTGAGTTTGTGCTGCATGGCAGTGGGCTGGGGATTGCTGGCTTCATTATGCCTTTGATCCCTAAACCCTGAAACCCTAAACCCTGAGTAAATAACCCTATCCAAGCATAACGGGGCCCTACAATTTCATTAGACCACGAAGTTGTGAACGCCCGAAACAACTGTCGAACCCAAGCAGCAGTCCTGGGTCTCAAAATTCTTTACTTGGAACAACGATCTATATAAGGAACTTATAATCAGGACCTCCCCCCTCCCCCCTCAAAAAAAAACAATAAAGACGAATGTAGTTTGGTCTTAAGGTGGGTCTTGGTACCTGAACGCACTTGCTCCCACAGTAGCGAGCAGCAATGGCCAAGACTGATCCTCTGGATTGATTTCCAGAAACTCGAAAATGATCTTAGTACACCGCCACGATGGTCTGCATAAGCTCTTCAAAAGTCTCATGGTCTAATTTTCGGGCTTCAGACCCACCCAAAAACCGAGCCCGCACTGAGATTTCGGAGACACAGCTCTGGGCGGAAACTTGGCCGGAACTGACGTAGCCGTGCCGCGGTCCGGGGTCTCGGGCTTTTCAGGGGCTTTAGGCTGTGGTGAGTTTTAATTAGTGATAGGGGTTACAGGGCTTTGAGGGTTTGGGGGGCCTTGGAGCTTCAGTCTGACCAGGTTGCTTCGGAAAGTATGGGGTTACACCGGACACCTACCCGGGTCCTCTTCGGCATTTTGCGGATCGATTTGTTGGGAGTTTTGTCACCTTGATTCCTTCGGGCAGTTCAATTGAAGGTGGGGCTTGTTTGGCTCCGTCGCTCAAGCCCTGGCAGAGCCGTACTCAAGTCATGGCAGAGCCGTACAGCCTGACCCTCAGTCCAAGCCCCTAAACTCTCTGAGCCTTCAATACAAGACCTGCTAGCATGGGTGGTGTTTGAACGGTACCCGTAGGGGCCCATCATGTGTACCAGGGTGTTACTAAACCCGACACTCGGTCCGCACAAGTTCCTTTTGCTACTTCCTCCGGTTCAGGATGAGCCAGCTGACGGCGAGGATATCGATGCAGCATTACTGGAGGAGACCTCGTAAAGCCAAATAAAACATGATATAAACAACCTGTTGCTTCAATCCTTTCCCCACCCTAGAGAGCCCGTATGCGCCCCTCCTAAGCCCCAAACCCTAAATCCCTTCGAAGACGTGATGATTCTTGTTTTTGGGCAGTCCAGCTTCTGCTGGCACCTGTTCTCCCCCACAGAGAGCGGCTCGTCGTCCGACAGACGACGGCTACGGCTGCTTTAAGGGTTCGTTCTGCGGTTTAGCGATTTGGGCTTTCAGGATTTATTGTTCATGACTCCAGCCGACCAGGGCTACAAGGGCTTCGGTTCGAGGTTTTAGGTTCGTTTAGCTTGGGGTTTCGTGTCTTTCCCTAAGGGCCCCCGAAGAGGATGTGGAGAGGAGTTGGGTTCTTGTGCCTAGAACTTCCTAATGGGTTCCCTTTAAGCAACAGATCCCCCAACAACTATTGCCCTAAGCCCCAAAAGTCTCAAAGTATGGTACTCCAAAGCCCACTAAACCCTAAGGGTCCAAAGGACCCAGTAATTAGGTGCTTAGGTACCGGATCGTAGTTTGTAGTAGGTTACCCTGTACGACTTTACCCACAGGTTCCCATACGACCATCATGGAACTAGGCCCTCAAAACCATAAGAGGGATGGTCTTTTGGGACTTAATTCCATAGTGGTAGTATATGTGGACCCTCTGGGGTATATGATTACTAGGTGCTCCGACCCTTAGGGTTTAGGCCTTGGACATTGGAGGCAACGGTCCAAGTAAAAGTGGCAATGCTTACTTTTTTGTAATCCTTGCAGCCCCTAAAAATACATTGGTACCCCAATGCCCTATCTGCAGTGATACGATGCAGATGCTACCGGGATTCTAGAAGCCTATTGATTGAACCCAGTTCTTGTAATTCATGAGGAACTACACCTATAGAATATGAAGCCCTCAACTCCCAGCCGAGTTCTGTCGAAGCTTGACTATTGGGGTACCCTAAGGCCCTAAAGTAGTTCTTTTTTGGGGTTCGTACTTAGAATCCTAATAGGTAATCCCAAAAAGGAACTACTTTGGGGCCTATGGGTAGACCCTGTTGACTAGGAGCTGTCCGACTCCAACAACATCCGCGCCCTCAGCCCCTTGGCAGCGCAGAGTTCGGCAAATCGATTAATTCTTCCATGGCTCCTAATCCCTAACCCTAAGGGTCCAAAGGACCCAATTATTAGGTACTCGGTTTTAGGATAATTAGTAGTTGAGTATATGATTATTAGGTACTTGGACCCTTGGGGTAAGGGTCCATGTGCCCAAATAGTATATACTTTGGCCCAAAGTACCTCTATGAGGACTACTTTAAGGCCGAAGTTTTTACTATTTGGGCACATGGACCCGTAGGGCCGTAGGGATTCTTTATTGAAGGGGTCGTGAGCTAGTTTGTGTTTTCCGTGTATGTACGAAGCAGCATATCACGTGAAGGAGCACCTGCCAGGAGTAGGAACCCCATGTTCTGGTCATTCAAGCCCAAGATATCTCGGTTTTGGGGCTAGTGAGATGTTGGTTTTGTTGGTGTCATGTCTCCGGGTAAAAATATAGGGGGTCGGAATTACAACAAATATTCATTTAATCGCAATTAACAAATATTCATTTATTTGCAATTATGGATGTAAACTGAACATAGCCGCGAACATTTTCCCATTTCTTGCGAAGCCTGTGCTACACCTTCGGGGCCTCACCTGAAGGCGATATAAGGGTTGAAGGTTTACTTAAAACTACGATAACCAGTTTTTTTGCAGGTGTTTCCTATGGACCCAAGGGCATAGTTCATGGAGGAGGCAGGTGTGTCGGCACTGAAGCTTGGAGGACATGCAGATGTGGGGGTTTTGTCCAGGACCTAGGGCCATGTCCTCGTATAGTCTATACTTTGGCCCTCAAGTACTTATGTAGTGTTGTAATTGAGGCCTATATTGTATTTAAATGTTTACATAATGTGTAAAGGTTTCTTTCAGGGATTGTTTACGGGTACATGATGGGAAGAGTGCGGCTGCTTGGAGCCTTGGTCTGTTCTGCAGCCAGACACCTTCAGAAATGTTCTTACCCAAGGCCTTAAACTGTATGACATTAGGTCATTAGGTTTAGGGTGTAGGGCTTAATAGTAATAATAATTGACCGATAGACCCTAAAGCCTACACCGGGCCGACACCTTAAAACCTGAAACCCTAAACCGACAGGTCCGAAGAAGCTAGGGGCTTGCGACTTCAAGCACACTTGCCAGGGCCTCAGCTTCGAAAGCCCTCAAACACCCAGAAGCCTCATACACTTTGAGACCGCAATCCTGGGGATCCCGAAACCTATTTTTTTTTGGGGGGGGGAGGGTTATAACCGATAATTTCTGGGGTAGGGTTGGGGGATACAGGACAGCCCTAAGGCCTAAGGCCCGAAGGCTCTTAAGGGAATCTTACGGCTTATGGTTTGGCCTTTGTTCTGAGGCTTGGGGGGGCAACTACTTGATTACGTCTCTCATCTATGATGATTTTGGTTAGCCCAGGCCTGAAGGTACACCCCCATCCTGAAAGCCTCAAGCCGCAAAACCCAGAGTTTCGATTCTGTGCAGCAGTACTATAGCCCTGGGGCTCCAAAAAGCCCAAAGTAGGTAGTATTTGTAGACTTAAGACCCCAAAGTAGGTACTATTTGTATACTTGGAGCCCCAGGGTAGGGGCTTGAATAATTACACAATTCCCGAAGCGTAGCATCCTGCGGCCCACCGCTCCCAAAGCAATTGCAGGGTAGAGGGCCAGCCCCGAAGCGTCCATGTACCCAAACAGTATATACTCTGGGCCCGATGTACCGATATGGGGAATACTTTTGAGGCCAAAAGTATATGCTATTTGGTACATGGACCCTTAGGGAGCTTCGACGGTGTATTTTGAGTTTGGGCTTTACGCTGGGTGGAGAGTTACGTTTAAGGTTGAGGGTGTCGGATGCAGCTGAATCGGAACTTCTTAGGTTGCAGAGCTCGTGCTCACGGATTTTTGTTGGAATGGTGATTCCTATAAGCTCTGTGTGAATGCCTGACTGAGCCTGACTGCAAGGAAGCGTATTCGTGTTGCTGATAGCACCTCTACAATATGGTAGTCAGTAGTCTATGCGCGCAGCAACCACGTGCAATGCATCTTGCCAAAGAACAACCTGTATACACCACTGCACGTGAAACCCCTTAATGCTCACCCCACAAAGCCCGGCTAAACACCTACAATGTAATTATCAGACCAGGAATTGCACAATCCAAGCACCACGAAAGACCCTGTGCAAGCCCGTCCGGCTGACGCTTCGTATTATGCTCTGGTGTATTTAGGAACTGTATGTTTAGATTGAAAAACGGCAAGAGATCATTAATAGTATTCTTAGCATTATGGGCTTTGGGGCGCTTAAGGATGCACTTGCATTGCGACAGTGAACTACCCTAGGTTACTGAATCAATACGCATTCCTTACTACGGATAATGATGCTTTTCAATCCCTTAAATCCCTGTGAGAATCAAGCGAAGCCTTGTAAAATCACATCAACCTTTGGTTTTCGAAACATCCCGCTGCCTAAGGTGGCACCATCTCTGGTTCGGGCAAGTTCGTCTCTTGCAAGGGGCAATCTGGCCGATACCTTGTCATCAAGAAGACAGGCCCGCCAGATGCTAGGATGCCCAGTAGTACCCTTATTCCCTTTTTGTAGTCCTAGGTTCCTTATAAAGTTACCCAATACCAAAAAGAGAGGCCTTTTTATTCTTAGGTTACTGGGTATCCTAGATAATACCATGTCTGTGGTTGTTCATTGTTTAGTACTTGGAGGACCATTGGACTTAGTAATTAAGGTTATAAGTACCTTAATTGGGGTTATAAGTACTTATAAGTATGGTTACCCTAATCCTAACCCTAGTTACTAAGTCCCATGATCCTTTAAGTATTGTAGTAAAGAATACAACCTTTTCCGCTAGGACGCTTTCCTTAGGGTTTGGATGGCGCGGGATCTAGTAGAAAGGAAAGCAGATGGTTTGCCATGCACCCCCTTTTCTGGTAACTAATATTCCTCAAAGAGAAGCAGTTGAAGTGCTCAAGCTGGATGAAGCGCAGGTGTTTCGGGATTTTGTCATGAGAACTAGTCTTGCATTGCTTAAACATAGGGGGGCTCACTGCATTCAGAATGTCGGGTTTGTGGCTTAGGCTTAGGCCTTGAGGCATATGATATATCTGTCCTATGTTTTTTTGTTTGACAGGGGCTTCGGATTGATTCAGAAGTGTAGGCCTCAGGACACCCTTAACCCCCAACTCCTATCCGTAAGGTGCTTCCTGAACCTACCTTATCAAACCTTCCGGTTCTTCTTTGGAAGGACAAGGTAGGCTCCTTGTGTTCGTATCCTTTCGCTTAATCTCGGGGCTGTCACCTGCAGTAGAAACGAGAAAGCCGGAACATTAGCACGCCCTGGCCCTACAGATTCGTACAGCGGGCAAAGGAACGTAGTGTCTCTGTTTTCTGGGCCCCAAATCCCACAAATCCTGTTAGACGCCTGGTAACTCCGAAAGTAAGATAAGCCCGAAGGCTCAAAACACCCCAAACGGCTCATATAGTATGGTGCTTAGGCCAAAATTGTGTTTCCTAACCCCTAAACCCTAACCCCTAAACCCTAAACCCTAACCCCTAAACCCTAAACCCTAAACCCTAAACCCTAAACCCTAAACCCTAACCCCTAAACCCTAAACCCTAAACCCTAAACCCTAACCCCTAAAATAAACGAGGGGCCAAAACCGTCGAACGACAGGCCCCGAGCGCTCTGGCCGAGGGCCTAACAGCCCGAGCGCCCCTACGAAAAGAGCGGGACGCGGAGAGGGGAGGGTAAAGCCTCCCCGGTCTGACCTGCACAGGTCAACGGTGTAAAGCCCATGGCAAACCCCAACGGGAAGTCTTCGAAATGAGGGACCGCCGTATCGGGACCACCTCTAGCGTAGCTATATAATAACCCCAAACCGTGGGCCATTTGCTCTGGTCCCCCTTTTTTGGGTTAGGATTTAGGATTTAGGGTTTAGGATTTAGGATTTAAGATTTAGGATTTAGGATTTAAGCTTTAGGATTTAGGATTTAGGATTTAAGGTTTAGGATTTAGGATTTAGGGTCTAGGATTTAGGATTTAGGATTTACGGTTTAAGATTTAGGATTTAGGGTTTAGGATTTAGGATTTAGCTTCCGGAAATTTGGATTTTTGCTGGTGATTTTCAAGTGACAAATTCTGTTTATAAAATGTGCTTTTTAGACAAGGCCGGATGCGAATCTCGAGGTCCCCTCCTTTCTTTTCGTGTGGCTGCTCTTAAGCTTCCGGATTTCAATATTTAGGATTTAGGATTTAGGATTTAGGATTTAGGGTTTAGGATTTAGGATTTAGGATTTGGGATTGAAGATTTAGGGTTTAGGATTTAGGATTTAGGATTTAGGATTCAAGATTTAGGGTTCAGGATTTAGGTTTTAGGGTTTAGGATTCAGGATTCAAGATTTAGGATTTAGGATTTAGGGTTTAGGATTCAGGATTTAGGATTTAGGATTTAGGGTTTAGGATTTAGGATTTAGGATTTAGCCTCCGGAAATTTGGATTTTTGCTGGTGATTTTCAAGTGACAAATTCTGTTCATAAAATGTGCCTTTTAGACAAGGCCGGTTGCGAATCTCGAGGTCCCCTCCTTTCTTTCTTGTAGCTGCTCTTAAGCTTCCGGATTTCAATATTTAGTCTAGGATTTAGGATTTAGGATTTAGGTTGTAGGGTTCAGGATTTAGGTTTTAGGATTTAGGATTTAGGGTTTAGGATTTAGGATTTAAGATTTAGGGTTTAGGATTTAGGATTTAGGATTTAGGGTCTAGGATTTAGGATTTAGGATTTCGGGTTTCGGATTTAGGATTTGGGATTCAGGGTTTTGGATTTAGGATTTAGGATTTGGGGTTTGGGATTTTGGATTCACTGTTTGGGGTTTAGGATTTAGGATTTAGGATTTAAGATTTAGGGTTTAGGATTTAGGATTTAGGGTTTAGGATCTAGGATTTAGGATTTAGGATCTAGGGTCTAGGATTTAGGATTTTAGGATTTAGGATTTAGGGTTTGAGGGCGGGACCCCCCCCGAGACACCGGGAGACACCCCCGGACACCCCTGACCCTCCGGACATGCCGGACTCCTCACACAACAGAAGGCCGGGCAGATTCTTGCCTCCGGAAATTTGGATTTTTGCTGGTGAGTTTCAAGTGACAAATTCTGACCATAAAATGTGGTTTTAGACAAGGCCGGTTGCGAATCTCGAGGTCCCCTCCTTTCTTTTCTTGTGGCTACTCTTAAGCTTCGGGTTTTCAATATTTAGTCGCGCTTGTCCTTTTCGGAAAAAGACAGCCTGCTCTACAATCTAGATTTTCCAAAGCTGTCAAACGATAAGCTTGAAGGGCCGAGCCGGCCCTGCCATGCCGAAGGCCCGAAAAGGGCCGAGGCTACTCCCAGCCGTTGCCTAGGCCACAACTTAAACAACTGGAACGTTCATGGGTGCAAAAATATAAAAGCCCCCCTTGATAGGGGGGTTGGGGGGTAGAAACCCTAAACCCTAATAGAGTATAGTTTGGGTGGCCGGGGTGGGTTTACAAGCAACGCGAGCGCGCGGCCCGGGGTGCTTCACACCCGAGCGCGCGACTTCGCCTGCCACACCCTAAACCCTAAACCCTAAACCCTAACCCCTAACCCCTAAACCCTAAACCCTAAACCCTAAACAGCCTTCGGGTAAAGGTTTTAGGGAAGGAGGTCAGGGTTGCAGGATGGAGGCTGAGGGTTTCTGACCTCTGGGCTGGATTCCTTAGGGGTACTTAGATTTTTTTTAAAAAAAATTTGGTTATTATAATCCCTAAGAAGCAGCTAAAATTCTGATTTTTGCTAGGGTTCTAAGTTCAGTATAGCTGAGTGAGCACACTTTGCACTTCTGGGCCTGAGCATAATGAAAATGTAATCCCTTATAGAACTGAAAGGCTACCTTCGCTGGGTTTCTGAACTATATACGCAACCAAGTTGTTGATCCATCAGCCGGATTTCGGGTTCGGGACTTAGGTGTTGAGCTTACCCTAAGGGTCCAAGTACCTAATTATTGGGTCCTTTGGACCCTTAGGGTTAGGGTTTGGGGTTGTTGGGGTTTGAGGTTCGGGCAAAGTGTTTGGAGTTCAGGGTTCAGGCTTTGGTTTGCAGAGGGTGTAGGGGGGTTCGAGCTTAGGCTTCATTGTTTCGGGTTCATACAGTGTTGATGGCATTTTTAAGCCAACTTGGAGGATCATGGGACTTAGTAAGTATGGTTATAAGTACCCGAATTGGGCTTATAAGTCAATATTAGTTATCTTATTTATAACCCCAGTTACTAAGTCCCATGATCCTCCACGAAGTCCGTGCAGGTGCTCTTCAAACACTCACCGTGGGCGAGGTGGAAGTGTGGGAGGAGCAAGATTGCTTTGCGGATGCTAAGAAGTGAGATAGTTCCCTCGACCCTCAACCCTACACCCTACGGCCCGCTAGAGCCTAAAATCTAAGACCCCGAAACCCTAATCCCTCACTAAACCCCACACCCCTAAACCCTCAACCTTAAACCCCAAAGAGAAGCCTAAGACCCACACCTAAGCCCGAACCACAGTCCAAGCAACCGTGCGACTTGAAACCCTCAGAGCAGTTAAACATCCAGGATCCACCTAGGTTTATGGTTTAGGTAGATACTGGTCAGTCTATTCGGAAGAACTTTCGTCCTGAAATCAGAGTCAAGAGATTCCGGTGGATACCTGGAACCTGATCCCCTTGCAGACTTTCACAAGGAAACCATCATGCGGAGCCATGCACAAAGAGGTTCAGCACATGACTCAGACAGAAATTCCTCGACTCGCAGAAGGAATCCTTCCATAATTTCAGGTATTCTACAACTAACTATAGCACCCCCGTGAAACCTTACAGCCTTACAAAACTAACCCTCGAAAACACCTAAACCCTCGACCCCCAAACCCTAGACCCTAAACCCTGAACCCCTATACCTAAACCCTAAACCGTACATACCCCAAGCCCTAGACCCTTCATTTCAAGCGTCTGGGGCCGCTTGGAAACCAGGATGCCGTGCTGTCTCGGACGGCCGCTGTGGCTACGATGTCTGTGGCCAAGAAGGCACGGGGTTGAGGGTTTGCAGGGTTTAGGGTTCGGGGTGTATGGTTTGGTGTCCAATTGGGATTTAGGGTCTAGGGTTTCGGGTTTACGTCTGGGGTTTCGGGTTTATGTCCGTGGCCAAGAAGGCACCCGCCTCTGACCTCAAACGGTTTGGAGTTTAGAGTTGTTTTAGTATAAAGGTAACTCCAGAAAGTTGGAATATGGATTAATGGTAGGATCCCCTATTACGATAATGATATTCCAACTTTCTGGCTTCTACTGTATCTGTGGCTGGGCAGGCACTTGCCAGTGACTCTAATACGACCTGACGGGCTCAGGTCTGCATAGGGTTCAGGCCTCGTTTGTGTTGACTGAAACCCTAAACCCTAAACCCTAAACCGTAACCCTAAACCCTAAACCCCCTGTGGGGCATGGCAAGGCACTTGCCAGTGACTTTCATAAGGCCTGGAGGGCCCAAGAACTTAGGGACTACGTGGTGACTACAGGGGTTTAGCTTTGTTGGTGTTGGGTTTAGGTGTACAACGGTTTAGAGTTCAACGGTTCGGGGTTCAGGGCTTAAGAGTTTAGTTTAGGGCTTTTGGTTTAGGGCCTCGTCTCTGTTTCGGGGCTCTTGGGGTTTCAAAGCCCGCAGCTTTCCGAACGAATAAGGGCTCACGTGGCCAAAACCAAAACGAGGATCGTAGCTGGCTAGGCAGACACTTCTATCAAGGGGAAAAGGAGGGACCTTTAATGGGGACCCCTACCTTATAATGGGCTACATTATGGGCATGTAATAGCTATATTAAGGGTATATACCTAGGGGTCCTGATTAAGGGTCCCCCCTTTTACCCCTAGATTCTAAGAGGAGCCTAGGACTCACAATCAGCAAAAACGCATCCTTCGATCCTTGCATGGCCACCGATGCCGGATAGCTTGAAATCTCTTGCCGGAGCCCTATTACTAATCCCGTGAAAGCATCTCAATCAGGGACGAACACCCTTGGTGTAACATGACTTGGGAATGCCCGAATACAGCCTTCCGAATGCTTGCAGCTTATGGATAATCCTTTCAACAAACCAATAAGTAACCTTTGATATTGGCGGAGCTAAGGAGCCAGGGATGATGATAATCCCTATTGAATAAGGAGCTACGGAGCCCAGGGAACCCCAAAACCACTGGCTAGATAGTACTACTGTGATCATCCTTCACCCGAACTTGTTTGTCAGCTCTTAACTCATACCACCAGAAGACTGACCCTAATTGGCGAGGTAATGCTCCAGAGCCCTATGGCTTGAGCCCCACAGTTTCGCTTCTACTGTGACGAACCTATAGTCCATGAAGCTGTTTACTGTTTTGGTTACTGGCCTTGCCTTGCAGAGTGATTTTAATATTGGGGCCTGAATCATGACCAGTACTATTGTTGGGTAAAATACACCCCCAAAGCCCTATTCTACTTGTTAAGGCCCCTAGATCACCTATAGATCCCTTTGAATAAGGAGCACTTCAATTGTTCTAATTATCAAGACCCCTGAACCCTGAAGCCCTAAACTATCCAAAACCCTAAATGACTTAAGTCAAAGCCTAAACCCCACCTTAAGCCGGAATAACCTACCTTCTTAGGGTTCCTTGTTGTAATTTCCTTATATAGGTCCTTAAAAAGGGAGCTTATTCCGGCTTAAGGCATTATTAAGGCCCGATAATGTCCTGTTCAGGGGACTTAGCAAGCATGGTTAGGAGTACCTTAATTGGGGTTATAAGTAATTGTAAGAATTGTAAGTATAGTTACCAAATAATTACCCTAGTTACTAAGTACTAAGTCCCATGATCCTTTAAGTAATGTCCTGTTCAGGGGGAGAGCAATGGACCAGACCGTGTTTTGGACGATGCGTGGCAACCTCAGAACGCAGCACAGCACGGCTTCAGGGGCTTACCTTAACCCTGAATAACCTACCTGTTTAGGGTTCCTTATCACGATTTCCTTATATAAGTTAAGTCCTTAAAAAGGTGGGTTATTCAGGGTCGATTTAGGGTTGCGGGGTTTAGGGGTTTATGGGGTTTAGGGTTTAGGGGTTAAGGGGTTAAGGGTTTATAGCGTTTAGGGGGTTTAGGGTTTTGGGGCTTAGGGTTTAACTAAGGAGGATGTTTGGGTTCATTGGGTTCGAGCCAAAAGGCATACCACAAGGTAGCCGACAGTCAAACCTGCGATGACGACTGCAGACAAAGCTGTTCGAAGGTTTGGGCAAGTGGTTGTGTTGGGGTCTTGTTCTTTAATTGGGAGTTTCCTATGGATACCTTATTATGGGGCTCTACTATTTAGGGTACTAGATTAGGGTCCCCTATTTTCGGAAACCACCAATTCGGTGTTGGTGCTTTGGGACATAAGGTTTCTAGCAGTCTCAAGGTCTTGCAGATGAGGGTCCGAGATCTCCTTGTCGGAGTGTCTTAGGGTTCAAGGCTTCCGGATACTTGGAGGATCATGGGACTTAGTAAGTATGCTTATAAGTACGCCTTAGTTGGGGTAAGTAGTTATAAGTATAGTTACCCCAACAATAACCCTAGTTACTAAGGCCCATGATCCTTCAAGTACTTCAGGTGCCTACCTGTATCCTCAAACCCTACCAAAAATAGCAGGCAATGACCCCTTTATTCTAGGTATACTCCCCCCCAAAAGAAATGTGGATGTTTTGGGATCCCAATGTAGGGTTTGTGGTTTCAGGCTCAGAGCTTAGGGTTCATTGGTGTTCGTTGGCAAGTTGCATTGTTTAGGTACAGCCGTACATACAAGAAGTAGACGGGGTGGTTTAGGGTTTCGGGCCCCTTCAAGAGCCCAACGGATCCTCGGGACTACGGTACTGACGATACTACATAATACAAAGCGTGCCTATGTTGGGATATAGCATATTAGCACCTGGCGACGGACTCGCAGGTATCAGATGGAGCTTGAGGGGCATATAAGGCTGACTGTGGGGCAGTTCCTTAACCCTGAATAACCTACCTTTTTAGGACTCCTTATGATGATTTCTGTATATTAGTCCTTTTTTTGTGGGTTCTTCGGGGTTAAGGTTGCCATAGGACCCAATGAGGATTCATCTTATCGACGGTTGCAGTGTCATCATCATCGTCGTCGGAAGCAACAGCATACAGTAGAAGCCAGAAAGTTGGAATATCATTATCCTATCGTAACCCCTTTAAGGTAAAGTATAGGGGATCCTACCATTAATCCATATTCCAACTTTCTGGAGTTCCCTTTACTGAAGCCTGAAGCCTCAGCCACTTGCTGGACAGGGACAACACGGCAACAATTTCGCAGGCACCCCTTCCACAGCTTCGGTAGTCGACTTTGAGTTCGGGGATGGCTTCAATTATGTAAATTGCAGTTTCTTGGATTTCACATTGTTCTACATGGTTAGTAACTAGTATTATTATTTCGGTAGCCGGAGCCCTGTGGGAAGGGTCTGGGTTTTGAGGGCGCCGGGCTTCTTAGCCTAAAATTGATTCTAAAACGCACTTTGCAACTGGAGTTTTGGGCCGGGGCTCTTGGACTCTGCCAGGATGTTCTCTAGCTTAGCGATGTATTTTGCACTGGGTTCCTATTCGGGAGAAACTGGGAGGGCTCTGATTGTTAAGGCTTATGCTTTGGAGAGCCGGCTAAAGTACCACCACTACTGCTACTACTACTACTACTACTACTTCTACTACTACTACTACTACCACTACCACTACCACTAATGCGCACTTGGGACACAAGGATGGATCTACAGGCATTGGCTGTGAGCCCTTACACCCTCCGCCTAACCTAAGCCCACCTAAACGAGAAGGCCCCCATCCCAGAAGCGAGTCCGGTGACCCAGAAGACCTAATTGCTATAGTCCCCTTTGGAATTACAGTAGAAGCCAAAAAGTTGGAATATGGTTTCATGGTAGGATACCCTGTAAAGGGTTTAGGATATAATCATATTCCAACTTCCTGGCCTTTACTTTAATTGCTATAGTTCCCCTTAGGAGTTATGCTTTTAATTGTTGTTCATGCAAAACCTAAGAGAATGTTGCACATAATAGTTGTATCATGGTTCTAAGGGGGTATAGCAATTGATCCTTAGGGTTTCTGTGCCAAGAAGTTATTCGGACTACAGGAATACCGGCATGCGGGTAAGCCCTCTGTACCTAAGGGGTCATAAACTACTATTCCGCTTCGTTTGGCGCTACCGGTATACTCTCACGCCCTTAGAGCCAGATTGCCCATGCCGCTAATTCCTCGTTACCGTCAGCCTGAGTGTCCAAGTTTTGCACTGCCGCTAGCACAAACTTGCAGTGGCTGCAATCCGAAATCCAGGTACATGTTTGTTGGGCATTTGGACCCGTAGGGAAACCAGAGCGCCCAAAACCTTGAACTTGGAGGCAGGCACCAACCCGTGGCTACAGATAGAGCTCGTGGACGAAACTTGGCTTTCCAGTTACTATAGAAGTTACTGTTGCTACAAGTTCTTATGGTTAACATGAGGGTTATGGCGAAGCTGGTGCCCAGCGTGTTCAGTGCGCTTTGTTAAGACGGAAATGATCCTAAACTCCCCAGTGCATTTCCTTTGTTCAAGACCTTTGGTCAGTCATGATATGCCATATCAGCTTGCATGAAGGGGCTGAGAGTTCTACCTCAGCAGTGGATCCTGGGTTTCGGAGTGGGAGGGTGTCTGTTGTTTTCAGGGGTTTGGGTGTAGGGCTTTAGGATTTGAGGCTTAGGCTTGTATGTTTCTGCTTTTTGGTGCTTACCAAACCCTTTGCAAGGGCCGGTGTCTCTCATGGCCCCCCGCCGGTTCCCACCCTATAGGTCCCGAAGTACAGCTCGAGGTTTCGGTATGTTAAGATCCGCAGATTTCTCGAACTCGGAGGTTTGATGCTGCAACCCTAAATACCCATAGGGGATACGCATGGGTCGTCTCAACGTGAACATCTTCGCTCTTGTTCTGGTACTTCGGCAACTAGGGAGGCGCAGGTAGGGATGAGGGAGACATGGCTTGTTGCCCCGGGTGTACGGTTTAGGGTGTAGGGTTTAGGGGACATGTAGTAAGAGAGTGTCCGATAGTAACTTCTATTCCCGGCATTTCTTAACTGTTATGATCCATTCCTTAATTTGGGTAATGCAGTGTTTATATCACCAACCGTAGTGGTCTGGGTATTCCTGTATAATCCCGGCATCAATTACACGATCATGGCCCCAAAGGCCCTATTCAAGTCCTGTGGTAGTTATAATTAAGGCCTCTGAAGCGCAAGACCCCACACATCACTGTGGGCCTTTTAATTTCAAAAAGCCTTTTGAAGAGCCCTGTGCAGGAAGCCTATTGCAGTGATATTGAGGAACTTGTATCATGACTTGGGAAAATGCCGGGAGATTGTAGACATCACTTACTCTTCCACGAGCAGCCACCGAAGGAGGGCAACGTGGGCAAGGTCACGATCACGCCGAATGCAGGCGGCTGGCCAAGCTGCTGTAGGTGTGATGATTAAACATTGCACCTAGAAGTTAAATCCATAAACCCAGACGCCTAACCTAAAATGTACGAACCCTAAACCCAGAATCCTAAGCCCCTAAGCCCTAAGCACCAGACTAAACTTGTCAGACGTAAGCTATGCCGCCTGGACAGTTTTAAGACGATGATCCCGAACTTGTAGCATTCCAGGTGTTGTGAATGCTAGCACAGGGTCTTTAACAGTTTGAATGGGGTCTTAGGGTATATAATACTATGACTACAAGAAGGAACCACCTGCAGTTCAAGATCCAGGTCGTGGCTTCTGACGGAATTGGCCCAAAGACGCGAAAGCGACACTGGATCAAGTATGTATCCAGCTATACCTCAACCCGGGCCCTATCCTATCATGGGATCCGGAAACCCTGGCCCTCAAAGCCCAAGCGCTTCCCCAGAAGGCACCGGACAGTCTTCGGGTAACAGGATCGAGCCACAAAGAAGCCTAACAGTTTGAGAAACCACGGCTTCTTCCTGTAGTATCGGGGTCGGAATAGTTTTGTGATACAAGCCGTTGTCGTCCCCCGTACAGCAAAGCAACTCGAACCCTCCAAAATCCAACTAAGGAAGATACCTTAAATCATAGTAGGGATCCTATCCTACTAGAGTTTAAGGTATATTCCTTCACCATAAGGAGAGTTTGAGGAATACCCCTTTAATCATATTGGGGATCCTGGGATAGTTTTCAGGAATCGACCCACAGTTCCCACGCCTCTGTATTACTCAGAAGTTTCGGACAATGTAGGAACCTGATTAAGAAACCCTGGGCCTATAACCCCAAGCTAGTAGGATTCATAATAGGGAGCCCTTTTCTTAATCAGTTCCTACATCAGACGGCAAGCCTTAGTTGGGGAAGGAGCTCAGGAGGAGGATTTAGGAGTGAGGGTTTTTGGTAAGAGCTATGTTGTGGTTTAGGGTTTACTTGGAAGGGCATGGGACTTAGTAAGCAGGTCATTAGTCGAGTTATAAGTACCCTAAATGGAGCTACCCCAATTATAACCCTACCTATAACCTGCTTACTAAGTCCCCTGCCCCTCCAAGTAGGGTTTAGGGTTTAGGAGTGAGGGTTTTTTGTAACTGCAGTGTTGTTGGAGATGAACCAGGTTTCAAAGTCAGGCTTTACTTGGAGGTTCATAGGTATTGATAAGTAGGGTTATAAGTAGGGTAACTACATTTAGAACCCATATTAGGGGACTTATAACTCCATTTATAACTAGCCATGAACCTCCGACTCGCGCTTGAGATGTTGTTTCTTGTTTACGGGCCTCTTGGGCGTGACTCGTGGGGCTGCCCTAACCCCAAGGGTCCAAGTACCGAATAATCATATACTCTCCAAAATCCTAACCTACATAAAGACTACCAGAAAACCTACATAAAGACTACCAGAAAACCTACATAAAGACTACCAGAAAACCTACATAAAGACTACCAGAAAACCTACATAAAGACTACCAGAAAACCGAGTACCTAATTATTGGGTCCTTTGGACCCTTAAGGTAAACCCAAACCCTAGAACAAGAAACTGATTGAATGCCAGGGTCGACTGGGAGCCCCACTACTTGTGCACCAGACGTGCTGCATATGGGAGTTTCCGAAAATTGGATGTACCTTATTTAGGGGTCCTTGTAATAAGGAACTTATTATTTTGGGTACTATATTTGGGTCCCCTATTTTTGGAAACTCCCATATCGGCGAAGAGGGTTTAGGGACTGGAGTGTAGGTCTTTTGGAGGTTAGGCCTTACAGACAGCATCGTTCTAGATCCGTCAGACGAGTATTGTACCGACAGGTGTGCCGAATTATTTTGGAATCCTGGTCGTAAACGCTGAATCCTGAATCCTAATCCCACACCCTATGAATCAAACCCTATACCTAATGCTTAAACCGTGAGTCCGACATTCAGAATCCAAGACCCTTAACCTTGGATCCTATACCCAGAGCCGCCAAAAACCCTGAATTGAGGACTATACCTGAAATTATGGCATCTTCCTTAATTGAGGGGTTTTGGAGGCCCTGGATGGGAGCCCCTCTCCTCTGAGCCGGTCCCTCGCAAGGCGCTAGGAGTGCCTTCGCCCCGACGGCCGCAGCACCCGTCAAGGCAGGGGTGGCAAAGCATGGAGATTTCCGCAAGCACCTTTTTAGTTAAGGGTTCCTTTAAGGGCCTTTGGGTTTAGGGTTCTTCAGGGTTTTTGCTGGTTTTCAAAGAGTTTATATAACTGGGCCTTAATATCCTTCAAATGATGATAGGAGCCATTGGGGGCATAATCTCCCGAATGACAGTGTTTGGAGCCTGCTGGTAATATAGATGCAGCAAGCATTGATACTTGCCAAGATCATTCCTCAGGCGTAGTATGAATGTACAATGATCGCCTCAAAACCTTCTTCTGAATGTTAAGGCGCGTGTGCTATTGTCATGGAATGAAGTTTAAGCTTAGCGAGTAGATGAAGCCGGGAATGGCCCGCATGTCGGAGGTCGGTGTCAGCGACAAGACCTGCAGCAATGGGGAGAAAGGCGACCGGAAGCTGTGATGTGACGGCATGGTGCAGGGTTTGTGAAACGTAACTAAGGCTTAATGTGTTGGGTTTCTGGCGGTTCAGGACACTGGGTGTTGTCATTGTTGGGGGGAAGGGGCTTTTGCATTCAGGGTCTACAGAAAAGGATGTGCATCAGTGCATATGTATATATCTATATCTATATCTACATCTCTATCGATCTTTCTATCTGTATATATATATATATATATATATATATGTGTGTGTACATTTATACATGCATACGCACACATACACACATACATACATACATACATACATACATACATACATACATACAACCATACATACATACATACATACATACATACATACGACATACATACATACATACATGCATACATACATACATACATGAGTACATACATACATGCATACATCGATCCATGCATGTATGTGTGCATGTCTGCATACATACGTACATACGTACATACATGCACATGTAAACATATGTGTATATATATATATATATACAAACACATTCACATGCTAACATAAGCCTGTGTATAACCACATATATATGCATATATATATATATATATGCACATATAAATGTATGTAATCTACACATGACTATTTATATATAACGAGAATCTAATGCGTCAGGTGAGGCCCAGCATCCCATTGAATTAGTCGCTAGAGCCACTAAGGTCCAGCTGCGTGCAGACAAAAACAGTGACCCTACAATGCAACTATACATGAAGGCTCGTGGAACCTAGCAGGCAAACAAGGTAAACAACTGTTATGAGAGGGGTCATAGGCACTGTCATAGCGAAACCTTGACCTCTAAGCCCGACAAAATCAGAGCGACCACCCTATTTCAAGCGTGGGATGAGGCGTCTTGATTTTGCAAGCACCAGGGAAACTAGTATCTGATGTTCATATCCAGCACCAAGTGCTGGGTCCTTTTGACCCTCCTAACCCTCTAAATCCCCGACAGGCCCCTTCTAGGTCCCTTACTTGGACAAAACCAAGACAAGGATGGTCGTTTGGCACCTAAGACCATAATGGTAGTATTACAGACTGTGTGGCAGTGTGGGCTATCGAACCCTAAATCCGAGTACCGAATTATTGGGTCTTTAAGGGACCCCCAAAGAAGCGGCTTTCAGGAACTTTGGGCTTAAAGGACCTGGCTTCGGTTCTCTGGGAAGCAGTACTGGTTAGGGTTAGTGTTTAGGGTTTATGGTAGGTACCGATTTGCGATCATTTTTGTTTTAGTGCCCCGTTCTGTTAATTCTAGAACCGTAACCATACATGATTCTTGGTGGACTGTTTGAGATCAGTACCTAGGAGCTGCACGTCCGGTAGGGCGGAGATGGCAAAGATTCAATGTCCCAAGTGTCCATGTACCTGACTTTGCAAGCTTTAGGAAATAAACGAGATTCCTAACCAATGTCAAGACCTAGATATATGCCGTGTGTGCAGGGCAGATGGACCCGTAGGGTTACTACCATCCTAAGTTCGAGAACTTGAAATGTCAACCCAACAGCCTTACTAAAACCATTGAGAAACACCGGAAAACAGAAACTCAGGGCCTCAGGGTTTAGGGTTGAGGGTTGAGGGAACCTTAGGAAGCATAATCTAAAGCAGCCTCTAGATCCTGTTCTTGTCAGGCTGCAGCTCATCGGAGAAGAGCGTTCTTTGCGGCACCCTCACAGAAACCAAAGAGGCCGCGGAGCTCGAAACCCCGGTTTGGGTTCACAGCAGTTTGGGGTCTACCCGGACACTAACGAACCTACCTTTTTAGGATTCCTTATCAAGATTTCCTTACAGGGTCCTTATAAAGGTAGGTTATTTGGGGTTTAGGGGTGTAGGGTTGGGGGTTTAAGGCTTGCGTGACTTGTGATACCAATGCTAGGGTTGGCTCTGGGCTTATAGGGCTTGCCGAGGAAGTAGCAGCAATTCTCATTCTCTACTGTAGTCCTCATATATCAGTGCAATATCGTAGAAACCGCTTCCTTCTTCCAGCTGTTCTGGCCCCTATATTTTGGTTTCGTGAGTTGGGAATTAGGATATGGTTCGAGCTCTAAAGCCTGTAGAACGCTGAATTGGTTGTTGGGGTTTGGGGTCGGTTTGGGGTTGGAGGTCGCGGGCTGTGACTCACAGTTTTGGGTTTCGCGGTCTTTGCGGTTTTTTTGGGGTGCAGTACGCCCCAACTGCGTCCTGTATTTGCCTCCACCAGCTGCGACGCTTTCTGGAGTACCGGCTACTCCTTAAACCCTACCTTAACCCTAGAGAACCTACATTTTTTAGAGCGCCTTATTATGATTTCCATATACAATACAAGTCCTTAAAAAGTAGGTCATTCCGGGTTAAGGTAAACCCTAAACCCCTAAACCCTAAACCCCTAAACTTGGTCCCTAAACCCTAAACCTTAAACCCCTAAACCCTAAACCTCGAAGCCCCTAAACACTAAACCCCTAAACCCTAAACCCCTAAGCTTGGTCCCTAAACCCTAAACCCCTAAACCCTAAACCCCTAATCCTTAATCCCCTAAACCCTAAACCACCTCGAAACCCCTAAACCCTAAACCCTAAACCCCTAAACCCTAATTTTGAGGCTTACCCAAACAAACGAAGGCCTCGAACCTTAAAATCTTAGTCTAGGCACTACCGTAACACCAAATACCCTACCTTTGTAAGGACCTATCTAGGAGTTTCCGATAATTGGGTGTACCTTTTACCGGGGTCCTTATAATAAGGATCCTAATGTTTAGGGTGCTAGATTGGTCGTCCTCTATTTTCGGAAACTTCCATACCATGAAATCAGAATAGGGAACCCTTAAAGTGGCGCAGGTTTGTTAGGGTCCAAGTAAGGAATCAAACCGGAAGTCTGATACATGGGGTTTAGTTTAGGATTTAGGGCCACCACAGGAATAGGAACCTGATCAAAAATCCCTGGAGATTTAATTTATTCGGTACATATGCAAAGCCTTATCAGCTTGAGGGCACTAGCAACCCCAAAGCATAGGTTCCCGAGATGGGGATACTCTGCTCACATCCTGACTTGGACAGCCCTAAACCTAAACCCTGATCCCTCAAGCAAGACTAAGAGACTTAATTAGACCATAACCGTAAGGGTCTGAGTACCTGATAATCATATATTCTCCCAAACGGTAACCTACATAACTACTATCCGAAACCTGAGGACCTAATCATCGGGTCCTTTAGACCCTTAGGGTAAACTCCAACCCTTAATCCCTATGAGCACTAAACCCAAAAACATTATAGCCCAAACTTAAACTCCCGAGGCCCTGAACCGGAACCCCCACCATAACCCCACAAACGAAAATGTTGGACAATCAGAATAGGGAAGCTTTCAACATGTAGGGTTCTCAAGGTCCATGTAAAGGCATATGTTTAATGACCCCTATCGTTCCCCTTTAGATTTCAAGTGGTCCGTTTAAAAGAACCCTCTTCTATTCGTTAAGGCCCGTACTTGCACGTTCATGGTATATGTGCCTTAACAGGGGTTATACTTACGTCATCTAGTTACCTTCTTTTTATATCCCTAGTTAGCAAGAACCTCTGAACATTACACCCTGGCCAGTTGAGGCCGGCTCCGACATCCCTAGTTACTAATCACACCCCGTAACCTAAACCTTGCCCCGCAAATAACCTACCTTTTCAAGGACTCACATAAAGAAACCAAAATTGGGAACCCTAATAATGTAGGTTCCTTAGGGTCCAGGTAAACCTTAAAGCCCCGAAGCCATAAACGCCTAAACATTAGGATTATCAGACCCCCTTACCTGATTTGTCTATAACCCTAAAGCCTGATTAGATTCATCAGACCCCTTTGAGGCGGGCTAAACCCTAACCCCTAAACCCTAAACCCTAAACCCCTAAACCCCTAAACCCCTAAACCCCTAAACCCTAAACCCCAAACCCCTAAACCCCTAAACCCCTAAACCCCAAACCCCAAACCCCTAAACCCTATAAACCCTATAAACCCTAAAGCCCCCGCCCCTTTTCAGGCGGGCTCCTACATCGTGGACTGCGGTGGGAAGGGTGGCAAGTTTGCCTGGATTGAGCTGCCAGGCTCCCTCGGCTCTTAGTGCTTCGGTGATCCTTTACAGGGGTTTAGGGTTTAGGGTTTAGGGTTTAGTTTTTAGGGTTTAGGGTTTAGGGTTTAGTTTTTAGGGTTTAGGGTTTAGGGTTTAGGGATCTAGGACCCAGAGTAGGCCGTTATTCCCTTTCTATGGGTTCAGGTTCCCTTATAACCCCCTATAAACCAAAAAGGGCACCCTTTTTCTTCCTAGGCTACTCTTAGGTTTAGGGATCTGTTACAGGGACTTATACCAACAACCTAAACCCTAAACCTGAAAGCTAAGCTAAAGTCATGGTTCCAGGCTACCTGGAGTAATTGCTTGAGGCAGATGTTTGGGTTTCAGAGTATTTGGCGTACACGCCGGGCGCAAGCAAGGCGTTAGGGGTTTGGGATTTAGGGTTTAGGGTTTAGCGTTTGATATTTTTTAAATAGGGCTCAGGGAAGCAAGGAGCTAAGGGTTTTGAGTTTGAGGTGAAACTCTAAGCCTTAAGCCATAAACCATAAACCCTAAACTCTAAGCCTTTGTCGAAAATCCCTCAACCCTAGCCATAAACCCTGATCCCTAAACCTTAGGCATAAACCCTAGACGCTAACCCCTATCCCAAGTCAGTCTGAAGCCCCCACCCTGCGATTCGCGAGGGAAAAGTCGAGCCATCAATATCGCCACCGTCGAGGTCGAACAGGCCGGTGTTGGGGGTTTAAGGGTTTCAGAGTTTCAGGTTTTTAGGGGTTTAGGGTTTCAGGGATTCGGGTTTAGGCTTTAGAGGTTAGGGTTCAGGATTTAGGAGTTTGCGGTTTAGGGGTTTAGGGTGTCGGGGTTTACGGATTTAGGGGTTTGGGGGTCTAGGGGTTACAGGGCTTAACTAGGATGCCCAGTAGTACCCTTATTCCCTTTTTGTAGTCCTGGGTTCCTTATAAAGTTACCCAATACCAAAAAGAGAGGCCTTTTTATTCTTAGGTTACTGGGTATCCTAGTTAAGGTTTAGCGTTAAGGCTCCGGAGCAGGAGCTCCCAGAAAGGTCCAGGTAACCATATGGTGAACCCCAGAAAGTTGGAACATTGATTTAGGATGATTAGTGCAAGGATTTCCTCTACTTTACCTTAAGGGCATGAGGATAATGATGTTCCAACGTTCTGGCTTCTACTGTACATAACCCAGAGGCTCGACACATACTACCAATATGGAAATAGGTCCCAAACGACCATCCTTAACATGGTTTTAGGGCCCTAATTCCATAATGGTAGTATATATGAGGAGCCTCTAGGTAATTTTGTATATGCCTGCTGTGGCCTTCTTAAGATACTGATATGTAAGGACCACTCCAAAGCATATACTGTACGAGTACATGGACCGGGCTGGAGATTCCATATCCCCTTAAAACAAGACTATGTATGAACTCGTTTTCGGGCTCCTACTAACTGCCAACTAGATGAATCGCCAAACTATGTGTAGCTTGAGGGACCTGCCTGGACTCACGGAGACACCCAGCCTCTACTCCCAGACCCTGAACCCTGCACCCCAAGCACGAGCGCTCCGCCCGACTCGCGAAACTTGATTCTAGCCACATCCCTCCGAGTCCCACTTAACGTTTCCTACTGGCTCAAGGGATTCGGAAAATAGGTTATAGTCGAGGCTATGTGTACACAGAGAATATAGCTTCAGTCGTGACATCTCATAACCGTACTTAGTGAGTCCCATAGGCCTTCAAGTAAGCGTTGATCCCGCAAACCGAGTCTCGCAGTAAGAATGCGAGGCCTATCTGTGCTAAGCCTGAATCATCCTGAATCCATTCAAGCCCCGATGAAATGGTTTAGAGTACATCTGTTTGGTCCTTTTGTATCGTAGTATGTTGTTGATACATTGTTGCTACGTGCAGTAGTTTGCGTACGATATTAGGGGTGGTCCCAGCATGAAAATGCATAGTATGACCGTCCTTCTCATGCTCAGTTATCCTGACTTGAGGGAGCAGGAGCATCTTAGCAAGTAGGGCTTGAAGCATATTTGGAAATTGAAACTAAGTGTCCGCGAGACTTAAAAAGTTGGTACTCGGCTTCAGGATAGTAGCTATGTGGGCTAGTATTTGGGAGAATATCTGATCATTCAGTACTTGGACCCTTATAAACCTCAGACACTGATCCCCCAAAATCCCCGAACCTGAAAACTTAAATTCCAAGACCCTAATGAAACCCCTCGGGCTCAGCTTTGAAGAAGACATCGAAACCTCTCCCGTCTCCCCCGACCCCGGGAGGATCTAGAAAGTAGATCCCCTAATTTGGGGCCCTATACTACTAAGGGTACTGTAAAGGAACCCCCATCAATCAAGGGATTCACATTTTGGATCCTCCGCGGGGGTCTGGGTCCCTGTCCTTTGCCGAGGCTGCCCTTTGTGAGCAGGCACGCGGACGGGCTGTTTGAGCAAGGGTTCAAAGGACCCAATAATGAGGCACTCGGTTTTGGGACTGTAGTTTTGTAGGTCAGGATTTTTGGGAGTATATGATTATTAGGTACTTGGACCTAAACCCCCAAACCCTAAACCCCCAAACCCTAAACCCCTAAACCCTAACCCCCTAAATCCTAAACCCCTAAACCCCTAAACCCCTAAACCCCTAAACCCTAAACCCCTAAACCCTAAACCCCTACCCCCTAAACCCTAAGCCCCTAGACCTGGGGTTTATGGTTTGGGATTTCAGGGCTTAGGGTTTTTGTTTTGGAAGCTTCGGAGACTCTAAAGTTCAAGTCTTCAAGCTGGACCAAGATACCATAAGTCATGTAGAAGGGATCTTTCAGGGTTCCTCTAAAGGGATCTTTAGGGTTTAGGGGTTTAGGGTTGTGCATACCCTAAGTCTCCATAGTACTTCCTTGTGAGGGGTTCGTAGATAGAATCCTGTGAGGTAAAAGGAACTACTACGGAGCCTATGGGTAGCTTCTCGATCGTGAGAGGATGTTTTGCTAAAGGCTCAGCTTCACCTGAGGATCGACGTGCTACACCCCCCCAAGTGGATTGCCACAATTGCCACAAATCGATGGTCAGTTTCGGCTCCAGTCTTACATTACAAGTGCTGAGGAAAGGGAAACGAATATAGAAGCCTGAATAATTACCACTACTATTCCTTAAAGACTGTGGTTTCCTTGCGAAGGACAGAACCAAATATCATATACGTAATTTAAAATCTATATATATATATATATGTATAGCAGATGTATACCCCAAGCTGTCAAGTCCCCTATATTGCTTGGGGCCGCGGAGTTGATTGTTCCGGTCTTGCTTTGTTAGCCCGCATCGGAATGATTACAGAACCCATGTAGGGCTCGCAATAGAGAAAAACGTTAGCATCTTCTGGTAGTAGTCCGCATCTATAGTTATTGTACGTTGTAGTGCGCACCTCAGGACTTAATTCTAGTCATGAATGCCCCCATGCCGCTATGCCATTATAGACCACTAGACAATAGAGCATGTGGATCTTCTTGGGAGTGCGCAAGTCCCACACCTTCTACTCTACGCCGTCCCCAAGTCCAAAGCATCCTTAGAAGGAAACTCGTTTCCGTTCATCAAGGCCTCTGCTTACGAACTCTGTATCGCACGGCTTGGGGTTTAAACTTTATAACGGTCTACCTCCATTCATACTTGGTTTCCGAGCAATGATGTAGAGAGTTTCCCTAAAGAGCCCGTTTACAAACCCTTATTACACAACCCTTAACCCCTTCTAATGTCCCCCTTGAAATGTTTCACGGGAACCTTACTCTTATCATTACGGCCCCCACAAGCAGTTTCAAGGAGCCCTTGAATAAACCCCAAGGCTCAAAAACAGCCCAAAAGCCTTATATGGGAGTTTCCGAAAATAGAGGACCCGAATATAGTACCCTAAATAGTAGGATCAGTATAAACAGGACCCCAGAATAAGGTACTCCTAACTTCGGAAGCTGCCATATAGTTTTGTGCTGGGGCCCAAGAGCCTCATTGTGTGAGTCCTCAGAGCCCTAAACCCTGTAGATCCCTTCAGAGGAACCCCTTTCATAGATCCCTTTAAAGGACCCCCTTTATAGATCCCTTAGAGGACCCCTTTTTTGGATCCCTTTAAAGGAACCTTGAAAAATCCCTTTAGAGGAACCCCTTTCATAGATCCCTTTGAAGGACCCCCTTTAGAGGAGCCCGTTTATAGATCCCTTTAAAGGAACCCTTGTAGATCCCGTTAAAGGACCTCCTTTATAGATCCCTTTAAAGGACCCCCTTTATAGATCCCTTTAAAGGGGCAACGCGAGGTCGTTTTCGAAAGACCGGCCAAGGGCGCGGTGAAGTGCTACCACTTCGCTCCTGGGAATTGGGATGTAGGGTTTAGCGTTTAGGGGTTTAGGGTGTAGGGTTTAAGGTTTAGGGTTTAGGGGTTTAGGGATTTAGGGATTAGGCAAGTTCAGGGTTCGCGGCTCCTTTAAAGGGGTCTATAAGGGATCCTTAAGGTTTCCTTCGAAGGCGTTGGGGTTTAGGGTTCAGGGATTTAGGATTTGGCATTTAGGCAGGTGTAGGGTTTGGGGTTTGGGGTTTAAGGGTTCAGGGTTTAGGCAAGTGGGATTTAGGGTTTACTGGGTTTAGGGTTTATGAGTTTAAATTACCATAACTCCATAACTCTTGGGGTTCCAATAGGGTTTAGGGTAAACGGTTTAGGGTTCTTGTTAAGGAGTGTAAGAATTGAAGTTACATAATCGGGATCTGGAGTGAATAATATGGTTACCTCATTATGACAACTTACGGAAGAACCGTTCACAAGCACCCAGAGCACCCAGTTTAGGCAAGTGCAGGTGCTTGCGGCGACTGCGTCCTCTCCTGCCCTCACACCCGGCTGCCAGTTTGCTGGGCCAAACTCTTCGAGCATGTGGGGTGGTTGTGAAAATTAGGGTGGTTTAGGGTTTAGGGTTTAGGGTGCCCTAAATATTAGGTGCTGTACTATAATAGGGACCCAAAAAGGGACCATGATTTTGACAACCACCCATGTGAATCCGCATTGCGGGGGGGAGTTAGTGCAGAAGGACAGGTTGTGTTGCCGCAGTGGATATCGCCTAGCAGCAATGTGGGTATGACTATGACAAGCTTCAAGAATTTTCGGATGTTGGTGTGGCTTTTGGTTCAAGCCATGTTTGATTTCAGCACCACTAGTCACTAGTCCCACGTTCTGTGAATATCATGGAGAGGTTCGATGGGACCCCTGAAGAGAAGAAAGCAGTGATGGGCCTCTTGGCTGAGATGGGCTACGCAGTTGAAGGAGGCGGGATTCCCCAGCTACAGAAAGATGTACAGGAGCTGTCACCGGAAGCCTTCATGGAAGCCCTTCCGAAAGGCACTGATTTTCGGACGAGGGCAAACTTGAGCCGTTTTGTCAAGGACCTGATGCTGGGGGAAACGGATCCCCCTCCAGTAGGTCTCAGTGATCCTGCTGATACAATTGCAGAGAAAGATGAGAGGTTTCACATCATGCTGCACAATATCCTCAAGGCTGACGAGAATGAACGCAAGCTGACCGTCAGAGTCATTCATCTCTCTAGGTTTGTGGACTACACGTTGCAGAGCCGGCACCATGCGAAGTTATTCCTCCCAGAGGGCTCGTCTCTTCAGCTGAGTTGCGAAATGTCCGAGCATGTCAGCTTTCATCGAGTATTCTCAGCGAAAGATCTCTCGGTGGTCAAAGGTTCCATGCTCCTTTTTCACAGTTACAAGTTGGGCAGCTCTGCGGCATTTGCTGCCACCTTGAGGCCTCCACATGCGCCTGTGCAGCCCACAGCCTGTGTGTACCAAGAGTCTCCTTGGGAACTCTTTTTGCTGCTGTTCACATATAATAAAACCCAACCCTAAACCCTTAACCCTAAACCTTTAGCCGTAACCCAAGACCCTAAACCCTAGCCCTAAACACGGAACCCCAAACCCTAAAGGGGGGTACAGGTACCACTTCTGTGGCCCAGACGCAGATTGGGAGCAAGGTGTTCTCAAGGTTTGGCACACACGAGACGGAGAGGTCAAATCCGAAACTGGGCTCCTGAGAAGTACTCTTTTCCACTTTTGGTTTCGGATTAATTAAGGGTCGCTTTGATAGTTTAGGCTTAGGTCCTAAACTGGCCTCTTGTTATGGACTCTAGTTTCAGTGGCCATAATTTAGGGTTACATTCAGGATTCCATAAGGGTTTAGGGGTTAAGGAATGTGCCGTAATAGGGATCTAGTCTGAAATTAAAGCCTTGAGCAAGAACCCAGGAAAATAACCTGACGAAGCTGGAGCCATACCACTGCATCGCGCTCCTGCCGGTGGAGCGAGCGCAACTTCACATCGAGAGCAGTTATCGGAAATATCACAACAGAGGCCATGCAATCATAGTCCCCGAGGATTGTTCGGAGAACAAGCAACTCTCCACTGCTCAGCACGCCGGGAGGCATGTGTACATTTCGCAGATTGAGGAGCACTTGTGGGCTGATGCCGGAGCATTGGTGAATGAGCCCCAGAAGTTCGATGCAAGTGCCGACTTGGCGGATGTTCAAGAAGTTGAGGATGGTGTGCACAAGGGATTGAGCATCTGTCTGCACAATGTTCCGGCAAAGAACCTGAAGTTCGGATTGAAGGTGAAGGTCAAGCTGCCGGACGATCGCCTGGCGCACTTTCAGCTGGACAGCCGTTGCTGCGGTGTGCTCCGACTGCCGGAGGGCTCATCGGTTGAGGTGGAGTCTGAATCCGAGGAATTCCCGGAGTCTAAAGCGTCTAGGTTCCTCAGTAGTACGCTTTTGCCCTACTTCAAATTACGAACTGAATACCGGGATAAAGGGCATCCTTGTTAACCCCAAACACCAACCCCTAAACCCTAAACCCTAAACCCTAAAAAAAACACCTAAACCTTTCTTATGGTGACACTGGAGAACGAAGGCTTCCATCACTCTCGGCCCCGACACGCTGGCAAAAGCCAATGGAGGCAATATTTACTTCTACAGCGCGCATGATCGTCAAAGTTGGAGTGAAGAGGAGCCTTGAAGACGAAATGAACCCTTGCAGCTTTTAAGGCCTAAGGTTCATGTACACAATACCATATAGGGACTCATAGCATAAGGGTATAGGGCCCCTACCGCTTTGGTCCTGAGGAGAAGGCTTTGATGAACAAGTTCTGTCCCTTGATGATTTTGTTCCCCCTCTACATCCTCGTACTGCTCATTGTGACCCGCATGGTAGATGCTCGGAAAAGAAAGCGGCCACTTTGCCATCTGGTCCATGATGTAGGCCATCCTTCCAAAGGCAAGACAACCATCGGGTCACGCATTGTGTTTCATTTCTGCAACTTCAGCCTCCGTGGTGCAGAGACGCTGTTCCTGCAGCCCAAGCCACCCACAAGCGGCTTGAAGCAGCTGGGCTTTGCCATCACTTCTGGTCAGAGCTGCACTGTGCCTGCAGCTCCGGGCTTTGCGATTACGATCCGGGCCGAGCCAGAGTACGACCCAGATGACGTGAAGAAGTCCGCGTTGAGAGAGAAGATCGTTGAGCTCGACACCCGCAAATTAGGAGAACGGCACGTTTCTTGGTAGCTGAGTGAGTACACTTTACACGTTTTGGGATAATGATAATCCCTACATAAACCCTTAAAAGAACTAAAAGTTGACGCGTTTTGTGGCTTATGAATTCAGCAACTAAGATTTACTTCCTTTGGAATACCCGACGTGCTACCACGGATTTCGCTCGTGGCTATCTCGGCGAGTTTGCGGGAGCTGGGAAAATTTCCGAGACTGCCGAGTGGGACGCTGAGGCTCAGGCTTGCACCTCTGTCATAGTTGGGTAACTTTTACTTTTATGGGTACCTAAAACCCTAAACTCGAAAAAGAAACGTTCAACCCTAAGCCCTAACCCCAACCCCAAGACCAAGAAGGACTCACCGTGACAATTTTGATACGAAACCCTGAACTCCTAAACCCTAAAACCTTAAGCCCCTAAACCCCTAAACCCTGAACCCTAAACCCTTAAACCCTACATCCAGAAACACTAAACCCCTGAACTCGATGTCAAGCATGACCTAGGTGCCTCGGTGGATCTCGAAGCTGGCAAGGCCTAGATAGAGATCCAGTGAAGCGATGGCGTAGTGGGCCTAGGGTTGTTTGGCATGTCGGTTTGGGGTTTAGGGTTTAGGGTTTGGGGTTTAGGGTTCAGTGTTTAGGGTTTGGGGTCTAGGGTTTGGGGTGTCGGTGTAGTTGTTTAGGTTTCGGTTTCGTGCTTCCGTTTAGGATTTGGGGTTTAAGGCTTCGGTTTAGGGTTTGGGGTCAGTCTTGAGTTACATCATTTATGCTTAGCAACCTACTATTTAGGTAACCGGAGCCCTAGGCAAGGCAAGCGTTGCAAATGTCCGCGAGAAGTAATTCATTTGACCGAAGTGGGGTCAGAAACTTGCTTGTCTTTGAAGACTCCCAAAGGGATCTTCCACTAGCCCCTTGTGCTTGGGCCATGTGCATTCTGTGCAAAACAGGAATTTCATCTCGGCAGAGCTGCAAGGCATTGCGCAAGATCATCACGATGCACCACCCGTGTCAGGGTAATGCTGGGTCACCATGAATCGCCATGCATATGACTGCAACAAATATCTTAAACCCAAAGCCCTAAACTCCTAAACCCCCTAAACCCCCTAAACCCCCTAAACCCCCTAAACCCTAAACCCCCTAAATCCTATAAACCCTAAACCCCCTAGACCCCCTAAAGCCTCTAAGCCTTAAACCGTCCTGTGATCTGAGATGCACATCTACTTACCCCGAATCCTCAAGGGCTGCTTAGTTGGAGGGGCAGGGGACTTAGTAAGTAGGTTATAAGTAGGAGGGTTTAGGGGTTTAGGGTTTAGGGGTTTAGGGTTTAGGGTTTTAGGGTTGTAATTGGCATAACTCCATTTTATGGTATTTTTAACTCTACTTATAACTATACTTACTAAGTCCCCTGCCCCTCCAAGTAGGTGGCACTTTGGGAAGCTCTGCAGGTCGCCCTTATGGTTCCTATAGAGGTACCTATTCACAAATGGGAGTTTCGGAAAATAGGGGGCCCTAATATAGTACCCTAAATAGTAGGATCCTTATAATTGGTCCCGAAAATAAGGTACCCCCAATTTTCGGAAACTCCCAAAATACGTTTAAGGCCCCAAAACCACAACGCAGAGGGGATAAGAAACTCTTTGGCTGGACCGTCTCTGATCAATGGACCTTTCTTGGAGGTCCGTTCATGGGTGGATATACATGGGCTTATAAGTCCCCTAATATGGGTTATAAGTTATAGTTACCCTACTTATAACCCTACTTATAACTACCCATGAACCTCCAAGTATTTGAGCACACCAAACTGGTGGCCAAGGACGAGTATTCCGGCGTCGAGGACACCAAGAAGGTCCAAGGCTCGACGTTGCAAGTTTGCCGATGAATTCAACTGTTACAGGTTCATATTTTGGGGTGTTTAGGCTTTTCGAGCTTTAAGGCGTGCAGGGTTTCGGCTTTTCAGACGTGTTTTAGGGTGTAGGTTTTAGCGCTTCAGGTCTTCCATGTTTGTTTGGGATTTCGGCAACCTGCTAGCTGAGTCTTAGACATTGAAGTCCCGAAACAGTTCATTCTGAACCTTAAACTGTTTACCAGCACCCCCCAAGTACCTTGTAATGGAGCCCCTATGGCCTTTCTAGTGCATATTTATGGTATAATTGGGGGGGGGGGGGGGTGCTGCTGATAGGGTCTGGGGGTTCAGTGTTTAGGGGTTTAGGGGTCAGGGTTTGACAGGTATCCAAATCGGAAGCCCCGAGCCATGGCAGGGCCCCTATTTCCGAAAGTTGCGGCTCCCAAAATACGGTTGATGATGTAAATCCTGCATGACCCTCAAGGACCCTAAGCTATGGGAGTTATGGTATATTCCTTATAATGGGTAATGCAGGATTTATATCATCAACCGTAGCACCTCCAAGGCCATAACAACTTTGGCCGAGACGCTGAACCCCGAAGCCTTGTAGGGACCCACAGGGAGCCAAGTAGCAGAAGTACTGCTGATGGACAAAATCCTGCATTACCCATTATAAGGAATATACCATAGCTCCCATAGTTTAGAGTCCTGAGGGTCATGCAGGATTTTGTCCATCAGCAGTATCACGACAGTTATTGCCATGTTTCTTTGAGAGTTCAGGGTTTAGGGTGTTCCTGGGTTGTCTGAAGCTAGCAAACCGCAGCCTACCGCCGCCCAACTACGCAGGTAGCCAAGGGTTGTTGGCTTTTGTAAGACCTATGGACCCCAATTAATTAAACCCATGTTTACAAATTGCCATGTACCCATATAGTCTATGCTCAGACCTGAAAGGGGTCCCTATGTAGGTACTCTAGTGTCAATGTGTATACCATATGGGTACATGGAGCCTTAGGGTCTTTAGGGTTCTAAAAGGGATCTGATGCTTCAGTTTCGGACCCATCCCCTGAACCCTACACCCAAGCGAAATCAGCCCCTGCACAGTCCCACAAACCCTTCACCGTAGATGGGCTTTGGGTACCTATCAACGCCGAGAACCTCCTAAGCCTTAAACCCAATGTCCCTACGTTATGTGGAGTGTGGAATGCAGCTATCAGGCATTTACTACTATAAGGGTCAAGGGACTCAGCAACTAGGGTTACCATTAGGGCAACTGCACTTATTATAGCTACTTATATCCCCTATTCAGGTTCTTGTAACTACGACTTTCTAGGTCTAATATGGGCGCCGGCAAAGTCCGGCCCCTTTCTCGAAGGCGGGGCTCTTCGTAGATTTTTCTAGAACCCCATAGATCCTTGAAAGGAGCCCTAAACCCTAAACCCTGAACCATTAAACAGGGAACCTAGACGGAGCCCGAAGTGATCGACCGGCGGGCGAAGAGACTGCGTTCTCGTGCTCCTTTGCGGAGACGGAAGGACTTTGTTTGACTGGCTCTTTGGGCAGTCTACCGCTCAAGTGCGGTTTGAATAAAGCGAGTTTAACAAGCTCGTTCGACACATCGGAAGCCAACATTGCTTGGGCACCGATCCTGGTCTTGTAAGAGCAAGCGCCCACCAATTGGCTTGCACTCTCTGGCCCGGAGACGGCATCCTGGCCACCTCAATGCTGGGGGCAGACCGGCTTCTGATGTTCTCCGCCACTTGCGTCATCTGCAGCAATTCATGGCCAGCCTCGGACTGCGTTTCTCCTCCCTGTTTGTTGAGGGGAGTGGATAAAACCTACCTTAACCTACCAAAACCTACGTTTTGTCGGGTCCCTATAAGTTCAATATTAGGGTTTATAATAAGAACCTACCAAAAGGTAGGGTTTGGCAGTTTAAGGCAACCCTGCGGTGTGGGACTTTGGGGCTTTTGGAGCAGGTGATCCACCCCGACCCTCTGGGATCCCACGTACATGGGAGACTTAGGGTATTTAGGCTTTGCAGCAGCTCCTATATCATATCATCTGGACTTAATAATGTTATATTTAACGGTAGCTTTATATCAAATCTATCCTTCATAAACGGTACTTTATAGAAATCTATAATCTATATCCCAGCTTCAGAGGCAAGGTACATACTAGATGGGTGCATGGACTCAGGAGGCGAATACACCTTACCCTATAACCTATCAACGCCCAAGGCCCCCCCCAAAAGGGCCCCAAGGCCCTAAACCCCCTCTATTGTAGTATATTTATATGTATATATATATATATATATATATATATGTATATACTCTGATATACCCTAAACCCCCCTAACCCCCCCTACCCCCCCCCCCCCCCCCAAAAGGGCCCTAAACTAAACTGCCGAAGACCCTAAACCCCTGCACTCTCAAACCCTAACCCAATGCTGCCAAGGACCTTAAAGTTAGGGCCCTAGACCCCTTAAGGACCCAATAATCAGGTCCCTGGAAGCCTAGGGTAAGACCCTAAAAGAGCTTAAACCCACGAGGTACGAAGTACACGTCGGCCATCTGCCACACTGCCGGGAAAGTGGGCCCTGCGGGAGTCAAGGGCGCGAAAGGCCGGGTCAGTAGGACCTAGACCCCAAGGAACCTATTATTTTCGGGTTCCCTATTTTGGTTTCTTTTATTTGGGGTTAAGGAAACTGTCATAAATGACCCAAGGGATCCTTGTACCCATATAGTATATACACATAGGCTTTCAACAGGTTCCTAAATAGGTAATTTGCTGCCTCAGTTTCTACTGTGTGGGTACATGGAGCTTCTGGGTAGGACACCTATGATGCGGTTCTGGGTTCAATTTGTAGGGCCCAGGGCACATGAAGGCTTTTGGGCTAAATCCTAACCCCTATAAACCTTAAACCTTAACACGCTAAACCCTAGACCCCTGAACCCTAAACCCCAAACCCTATAGCCCTTGCCAGACACTTTTTCTTGACTGGGCTATGTTGAGCTTCGAGGTTCAGATACGACTGCAAAGGGTTTAGATTTTGGTGCTTAGGTTTTGCGTTTTGGGTGTAGTGCTTGAGGGATTTCCACTATGGAAGCTGCTTTATAGTCTTATGAAGGCCTTATTATGCCTCATAACCTTCAAGTAGCAGCCATAATTAGTGCCCAAGAATCCTTCCTATGGTTTAGGGTGTACTTCTCAATTAAAGGGGTGGGAAGGTTTGGGTACTTGAGCTCGAGACCCCAAGGGTCCAAGTACCCAATAATCATATACTCTCCAAAACCCTAACCTACGTAACTACTATCCTAAAACCGAGTACCTAATTATTGGGTCCTTTTGACCCTTAGGGAGAAGTCCCGAAGGAGACAGAGGCCCGGCTGGCAACGCGGGAGCTCCAGGCAAAGCTGGCGCCAAAGGTGAAAAAGGCCGGGGAGAACTTTATAGTAGAAGCCAGAATGTTGGAACATCAGACTCCTCATGCCCTTAAGGTAAAGTATAAGGGATCCTAGCACGAATCCTCCTAAAGCCATGTTCCAACTTTCTGGCTTCTACTGTAGTAGGTAGTATACTTAGGGAGACCCCTTAAAGGGTACCCCTCCTGGACCCTACTTTTGGCTCTCTTAAAAGGGGCCTTATTTAGAGGGTCCATATCCCCAAGGCTCCCCCTAATCCTAACTCCCATTTACGTGTTAACTTTCCCTAGGGATCAAAACAGCACAAAAGCCTTATATAGTATGGTCTTTGGACCCCAAAGCCTTAATATACGAGTCCTTAGATCCCTAGGGTTTAGGTGTTGTAGAGTTTAGGATTTTGGTTTAATAATGTTTAGGATTTCACTGGGTTTGACAGTTTAGCTTGTAGCATCTAAAACTTGAATTTCTCAGGCCGAGTCTGTAGGGATATAAGATTCCTCGCCTTACCAGGACCCTCCTTGTGCCGTCAAATAGGGGTTTTTGGTCCCAAACAAAGGGCATTTAGGGTCTAATCGAGGGTAGATGGAGGGTCTAGGGAGCCTACCTTTTCAGGGTTCTAAAGGGACATCATAGATTTCCTTACTTTCGGAGGTTTAGGTTCCCTAAACCCTAGGTAGGCTTTTGTTTTCAAGCTGTTGTGTCGCATCGCACGACTTAATTCACATTGAGGCTGGCCTTGGCCTTGACGAGGCTTTCACCCTAAACCTTAAACCCTAAAACGCTAAACCCTAAAACCCTAAAACCCTAGACCCTAAACCCTAAACCCTAGACCCTAAACCCCGAAAGGATTTATGGTGTTGGGTTTCGGGTCCCTGCTTGGGGCTTAGGGCTTCAGGTTTCCCGAAGCTTAGGGGTACTTAGAAATTTTGTTTTAATTTTTGGTTATTGTAATCCCTAAGAAGCAGGTAAAATTATAATTTTTGCCAGGGTTCTAAGTTCAGCATAGGAAGGTTCTTGCATCTAAAGAGTAGTCGCACTAAGAGAGTCCCCCGATAGTTCTGCGATGATATGCCCGAGACCGTTGGCAACGACAGAGGCTCCTGGTTTGGGAGTTTTAGGGCCTTTTAGGGTTTACCTTTGGATCCGAATACCTACCGTTTTAAGGGTTCTACCCTGTAATTAAGGGGTCATAATACTACTATTTTGTAGGGTTTGGGCATACAGGTAGGGTTTAGGGTTATTCCGGGCGCAAGAAGGGAATGGCAACAAGACTGCAGATGTCCCTGAACAACCTTCGGTTGGCTGTGGCTCTTCGTGGGGATGGCCAGCATTCAGCGGTCCTGAAGGTTTAAGGTTTGGGGTGTGGGTTTAAGGGTTTAGAGTTTAGCATTAAGGGGTTTTGGGTTTAGGGCTTCCGGGGTTGCGGAGTCAAGTTTAGGGATTTCGGGGCTTGGGATGTTTCGGCGGCTTAGTGGTTGCGGGGTTTGCGGCTCATGCCCCAATACAGAAGACGGCATCAGAGTACTAGTCTGGGTCTGGGGAATCGGATACGAAAGCTGTCCCTGAAGGTCCATCCCTTACATCATAATACACCCTTCAGAACCGAAAAGAATGAGCCCAGAAGACCTGAACCCCTCCCTTATTATTGTGCTTTGTTCAGGTAAGCCCTTAATTAAAAGGTAGGGTTTTGGTGGCGGAAGCAAATATATAGCACGAACTGAACGCCTTTAATCGTCACACACACACACACACACACACGTGAACCCTATAAAACCTTCCGTATAAGGGTTCCAAAAAATTGATTTCCTTATACAAAGCCTTCAGAAAAGGTAGGTTATTAAGGGTTGAGGAACCCGGGTAGCCCGACAGCCGTGAAAGAACAAATGATTGAATCCAAAAGACCTGAAACGCATCTGAATGCTAACACACTATATCCTAAGCCGTCTAAGCCCTACCTTGCCCCCAAAGAACCTACCTTGTGCTGCATTTTTTTTAGAGAAATCATGATGAGGCGCCCGAAAAGTTTAGGTTTTATAGGGTCCAGGTAAACCCTATAAACCCAAAACCCAAGCCATAAGCCCTAAACCACTAAAACCTAAGCCCTAAGCGCTGTAAGCCCTAAACCCCAGCCCCCAACCCTAAACCCTATAAGCCCTATAAACCTAGAACCCTAAACCCTGAACCCTAGAGCTTGAACCTTTAACACTAAACCCCTAAACCCCAAACCTTAAAGCCTAAACCCTGAACTCTAAACCTTGAACCATTTAACCCTAAACCCCAAACCTTAAACCCTAAACCCTGAACCCTGCCTTAGCTTACTGGTCTAAATGAAGCTGACTCGTTTGCAAAGGTCCCAACCACAGGCTCTCCTAGTATAGGAGTTCTAACTGTACCTGCAGGCGGAAAAGAGCCCATACAAAAAAAAAAACTAAACCCTAAACCGTGGAGCCCTAAGCCCTAAACCCCTAAACCCCAAACCTTAAACCCTAAGCCCTGAACCCTACAACCCGAGCTGCTCCAGGCGATGCCGGCGCTGTGGGTGAACCTGGCGAGGTCGGCGAGACCGGTCCCGAGGGGCAGGCGCCTTTTGGCTTAGGGCTCTAAGGAGTGCTTCTGGGTTCCTTTAAAGGGATCTGTAAAGGGGTCCTTTAAAGGGATCTATAAAGGGGGTCCTTTAAAGGGATCTATAAAGGGGGTCCTTTAAAGGGATCTATAAAGGGGGTCCTTTAAAGGAATCTATAGGGTCTAGGGCTCTGAGGGGGGCGGCGCCTTTTGCCTTTCCCCAAGGGTCCAACTGTTGATGATACAAATCCTGCATTGTGTTAAGGACCCATGGGCATTATGGTATATTTTCATTAGGGTAATGCAAGATTTATATCATGAACCGAAGTACCTGATAATCCTATACTCTCCAAAACCCTCAGCTATAACTACTATCATCCTAAGCCCGAGTACCTAATTCTTGGGTCCTTTGGACCCTTGGGGTTTTGGCTTAGGGCTCCAAGGGCTCATGTTTTAAGGCTTTTGGGCCCAAAGACCATACTATACAAGGCTGTCTATAAGGGGTCCTTTAAAGGGATCTATACTAGGGTTTAGGGATCTAAGGACTCAATTATAAAGGCTTTTGGGCCCAAAGACCATACTATAGGGGTTCTGGGGCGATGTTGATGCCCAGGGTGTTGCCTTTTGGCTTCGGGTTTTAGGGTTTAGAGTAATATAGGGGTTTAGGGTTTTGGGGTTTAGGGTAAATTATAGGGGTTGTAAGGTTTTAGGGTTTGGGGTTCGAGGGCTTAGGGTTTTCGCGTTTAGGGCTTAGGGTTTTTAACTTCAAACTTTTCAGGTTTAACATTTAAGATAGTTTAAGGTTTTAGGGTAACTTAAGGGTTTAGGGGTTTGGGGTTTAGTGGTTTGGGGCCTAGGGTTCTTGGATAGTCAATGGGAGAAGTTTCAATTTGTTGGCATTTGATATTTGGTCAATCTCGGAAAGTTGGAACTTTCCTGGCTCGATTATTGAAGAAGGGAATTTTTGCATTGTGCGTAAAGGGCTGCTGTTGTACGTTTCTGCAGGGTAGGGTTAGACAAGGTTTTAGGCTTTCTTTTCAAAGGGTTCCTGTCAGGGCCGGGGTAGGGTTAGAGAAGGGTTTAAGCTTTCTTTTTAAAGGGTTCCTTTCAGGGCTGGGGTCTGGAACCAAGGGCTGTGAAAGGTGTGGTGGGACGTCAGGTTTCTAGGCTTAAATAGACCTTCGTGGCTTAGGGTTGACTATATAGTTACAGAGGTCCAGATATTTCGTAGCAGCATCCCCAAGACGCTCTAAAATGTGGGAGGGCCTTAGGAGGCTTTCACTGGGATGAAGGTAGGTGGGGCTGTCCTGATATAAGGGATCCCAAACTTAGTAGCAGAGTAGGGGCCTCTATCATCCTAGCATAATCGAAAAGCTTAACATTTTTCGGCTAGGGTACTCAGCCCCTCAGTTGCCCTACCTACCTTCATCCCACCTTCTGAGGCTTGCAATCTTGGTGATTCCATATGAAGCTTTAAGTTTTGCGAGTTTTGGACCACGAACCCTAGTCCTGAAGCCCTAAATCAAACCCTGATCCCGTAACCCCGGTCCGCGCCCTAAACCCTAAACCGTACTTGGGGACCTAGTAAGTATGGTTAGAAGTAGAGTTAAAAGTACCTTAAGTGGAGTTACCCCAATTATAACCCTACTTTTAACCCTACTTACTAAGTCCCCTGCCCCTCCAAGTAGAGCTGTTTGTCCCCAGGCATCCGGTTAGCTACATTATAGGCTGCTAGTTAGTACCATTCGATATGTAGCCCAGTAATTAACCCATTATTAGGTAACTGGACCACCAGGGTGTGGGTGGTTTCAAACGAAAGAGCCGAACTTTGGCGATGCTGGATGGGGTGCTTTGATGAGATCCGAGTCACGAACAGCGCCCACTTTGCCCATCTCATTGCCCAGCGGACAGCGAAGGAGGCCAGTGAAAAGTTGCTGGCTGCCCAGCAAGAGGGAGCTGGTACGAGGATTCAGTTAACTAGGACCTAGAGTAGGTCCTTATTCCCTTTTTTAGGGTTCAGGTTCCCTTATAAGCCCCTTTAAACCAAAAAGGGCACCCTTTTTATTCCTGGGATACTCTTGGGTCTAGGTTAGCGGCTTACCATGCAACTTTGGTCGGTTCTGCGCTCCAGGGTCAGGGCGTTCCTTCCAGGTTTTAGGGCCTCGGGCTATAGGAGATATGAGCCTCCTAATTCAACCCAAAGCCCCCCCTAAACCCCTAAATCCTGAACCGGCAACCCGTAAGACACTCTACCCTAAAACCCTGAACTCCTAATCCCGAAGCCCAAGTCTCCGCAAAAGCTGCGCCTAGCAGGATGCAGATGTGGCCGGCTTCGCGACAATGGGCCGCACCGGCTGCAGGGGAGCTGTTGTTGTTGTCCTTAAGGCCTAGGGTTTAGGATTTGGGGTTGAGGTTTTGGGGTTTAAGGTTTGGGGTTTAGGGGTTTAAGGTTTAGGGTTTAAGGATTAACTGTCATGCCGCCCTCAGCCTCAAGTCCCTGTACGCACGCATTTGCCGCATACACTGTAGCAGGGCTTTTGGAACTGTTAGGGTTCCTTGAAGGGAGCTGTAAGGGATACTATCAGGGCTTGAAGAATGTCGTGTGGAGTACAACGACAGCAACGAAGATCAACAGTAATGGTGGTAACGAGCTCCGTATCAACAATAATGCTCAGATGTACAGGTCATAGTTAAGTCAAGTTTCAGGGATGTTGCTTCAGGATCCATGGCCTGCGGTACCATTTAGTTAAGAGTTTCGATGCATTGTGGCACGGAGCATCTTTTTGCGAGGATTTAGTATATCAGTGTTTGGGTTCAGGGCTGTGGGTGGGTTTATTTTCCAAGTTTTCCGGGTCTCACCCCTGATCTGTCACTCTACACCGCATCATCCACTGCCAAGGTATGCTTGGAATAGCTGGTGGCCTCTGTCTTGTGATCACCATCGTCCTTTGGCTGCAGATTCCGGAGATTCCAGCGTAAACCCCAACCACTCAACCCTAACCCGAAGTCCTAAAACCCCAGAGTCCATTAGGGCTGCAGCCTGGGAAGCAACCCCACGGGAAGAAGATTATCAGGACGACTTGACGGCACTTGCATGTCCCTCAGGGTTAGAAGATCAACCCACGCCAAACGCCCAGGCTTACTGCCTCAACCCGCAAGATTGTACCTGGTGTTCACACGCATCCGTGTATAGCTACTTTGTTTGGAATTTGCTTGCCAGGCGGCAGGCTACCTGATTAAGATGTGGTGTTCCCCAAGACTCCAAGTACCTAATTAGTTATATACTCTCCAAAACCCTAACCTACGTAACTACTATCCTAAAACCGAGTACCTAGTTGTTGGGTCCTTTCGACCTTTATGGGGAAACCTAAACCCCCTTTAAAGGAACCCCCCCAAATCCTTTAAAGGACCCCTAAACCTCCTTTAAAGGAACCAACCCGGGTACCTAATTCTTGGGTCCTTGGGACCCTTAGGGTTATGGAACTAGGGCCCCAAAACCTTATTAAGGATGGTCTTTTGGGACCTACTTCCATAGTGGTAGTATATGAGTACCTAGTTGTTGGGTCTTTTGGACCCTTAGGGGCTTGCGACCCCCGAAACAAACTGGGAACTTGGAGCCGCTCACAAATGGGAGTTTCCGAAAATCGGTAACCCTAAAATAGTACCCTAAATAGTATGGGATCCTTATTCTAAGGACCCCAAAACAGGCACCCCTAGTTTTCGGAAACTCTAAACCCTAAACCCTTTAATTATAGAACCCTTATAGATCCCTTTAAGGAACCCTTAAAGGATCCCTTTGAAGGTACCCCTAGTTTTCGGAAACCCCCAAAATCCAGGCGATCCGTGACACATCCGAGGCAATTCTCGTCATCTTGTTGAACAAGGTGGCGCCAAAGAAGGAAGCAGGCAGACTTCCGAAACCACTAAAGGGAAAATCCTAATCCCTAACCTTGCTTGAACGCCCAGTAACCCACCTTTCAGGGATGTTTGGTCATATCTATATCTATATCTATACATATATATAATATATATACACACATATATAGATCTATATAAAGACATATAGATATATAGATATATAGGTATACAGATATATAGTTACATAGTTATAAATAAATATATATATATATATATATATGAATATACACACACATACATATATACCCCCAGGGTTTAGGGGTTCAGGGTTTAGGAGTTCAGAGTTTAGGGGTTTAGGTCGAAGTACTTATAATAATATACCTTCCAAAGGCCTAACCTACATAGGAAACCCCAAAAAGTTGGAAGCCGGATACGACAGATAGTGCTGGGATTCCTCTTACCTTACTCTTAAGGGTTGAGGCTACTGGGTTTCCACCTTTTGTGTTTCTACTATACTGCGAAGACTCCCAACCTCTTGTTTGAGGAAGACCTCCCGAGCCCCTTAACCCTAACACTCCGTGTACCCATATAGTCTATACTCAGACTGTCAGAACTTAAAAGGGCCCCTGTCTAGGTACTTTAGGGTCAAGGTGTATACCATATGTGTACATGGAGCCGTAGGGTAATTGTGGAAAACCCTGGGATCCAAAAACCTATATACTTCTTTAAGGTTCGAACCCTATAAGTAAGGGTCAGAACCTACTATTTTGTAGGGTTTGGGGACACAGGCAGACCTTCCAAAGCCCCTGAATGAAGGAATAGACCTGAATTATAGTAGGATGCCTCTTATGATTTGAGTTTGAGTTCCTTGACAAAGGGATCTTGGAAAGTCTAGGTGATACTCCTTAACCCACCAGAACTAAGTCCGGTAGACCAGGGAGCCGGAAGAACACCAGGGTCGTCTTACGGCCTAAGCCGTATCTTAAGCCCTAAACCCTATACCCTGAACCCTAAACCCTGAACCCTGCACCCTGAACCCTAAACCCTACACCCGGAACCTTAGACCCTGAACCCTAAACCCTAAACTCTGAACCCTAAACCCTAAACCCTACACCCTGAACCCTGGATCCCTTTGTAGAACCCTCAAAGATCCCTTTTAAGGAACCCCTATAGACCCTCTTAAATTAAAGAAACCCTACACCCTGAACCCTACACCCTGAATCTTTTCTCTCTCCACTTCCTAAATCCTAAAACCCTTATAGATCCCTTTAAGGAACCCTGATAGACCCTTTTAAAGACACCCTAAACCCTAAATCCTAAACCCTGAATCCTAAACCCTAAACCCTGAACCCTATCGCAAAACCCTTTACAGGAACCCTTATAGATCCCTACACCCTGAACCCCAAACAATAAACCCTAAACCCCTAAAACCCTAAACCCTAAAACCCTACACCTAAACCCTATAAACCTTAAGCCCTAAACCCTGAACCCTGAATCCTAAATCTTAAAAAAAACCAAAATCTTAAAACAAAAAATCTAGACTTTTTCTCTTCACTTCCAGGCGGAGGCACCGAGCAGGCGCCCGAAGAGGAGGGCTACGAGGGCGAAGGCGCTAACACGACTTGGGATTTGGAGGATTTACCTTTTGGGGTTTAAGGTTTATCGGGTTAAAGGTATAGGGTTTTAGGGTTTAGGGCTTTAGGGTTTTAGGGTTTAGGGCTTTAGGGGTTTAGGGTTTAGGGCTTGGGATGTGGAGGATCATGGGACATAGTAACTTTAGGGTTCCTTAAAGGGCTCCTTTAAAGGAATCTATAGGGTTTCCATAAGGGTGGTTTTAGGGTCTACTTACAGGATCATGGGACTTAGAAATATTTGCTAATTTTTGTTTATCATACTCCCTAAGAAACAGCTAAAGTTGTAATTTTTGCTAGGGTTCTAAGTTCAGTATAGACTTGGGATTTGGAGGAGTGCTTGGAGGATCCAGGTTTATAATAGTATAGTATAAAATCGTATGGTACAACATAGTATAATATTCAGTTGTATAGTAGTTTTGGGGTTCTGGGTTGCTTGGAGGATCACGGGACTTAGTAACTAGGGTTCCTTTAACGGGTTCCTTAAAGGGAGCCTGAAAGGGCTCCTTGACGGGATCTATCAGGGTTCTATAATGGAGGATCATAGGGCTTAGTAACTACGCTTATAAGTACCTTAGTTGGGGTTTTGAGCAACTATAAGTATAGTTACGTATAGTAATAACCCTAGTTACCCTAGTTACTAAGTCCCATGATCCATTAAGTGGGGGGTTCAGGATTTGTTGTTGCTTTGGTGTCCCGTTTGAGGTTTTAGGTTTCAGGGGTCAGGACTTAAGGGGTTTTGGGGGGATCCAAAAAGCTACCGTTTTAGGGGTTAGCTACTATTTTGCAGGGTTTGGGGATACAGGTTTGAGTTCCCGAAGGTTATGCCAGAACAAAGCAAGCTAACTAAGTCAATGAAAGGACTTCTTCGGTTGATGATACAGATCCTACATTGCCCATAATACGGAATATACCATAATTACCATAGTTTAGGGTCCTGAAGGTAATGCAGGATTCTTATCATCAACGGTTCCACCCTGCTACCTCCACCGCCGCTGCGCATCTGGTTTCTTTTTCTTTGTCCTGTGTATGTATGAGTTTTCTTCAACCCCAAACCCAAGATCCTAAGACCTGCGCAGAGTGGTTCGAGGGTCTTGGCCAAACCCGTCCAGTTTACAGCCGTGATACTCAGCAAGCTGAGCAGCCGAGCATTTAAGCTTTTTTGGGAGGCCCTAGAGGCTCCTCCTATGCTACTACCGTTCTGGAATTGGGGCCCTAAAACCACATTAAGGATGTGCTTTTGGGACTTATATGTCCATCATGGTAGTATGTGAGGAGCCTCTGGGGACGTATGTCAGAGATCTTTTAGTCGTCATGCTTCGTTGAACTCAAAGCTCAAGCCCAAACCCTTTCCCTCTTCCGAAAAGACACCCACCTGCGAAGGCTGGGAAGAGGAGCAGTACCCAGAGGAAACGCAGCAGTGAGCGGGGAATGCATGTGGAAGATCTTTCCCGAATCAGAGGCACCAGGCTACCCAGACCGCATGCGAGACCTTACAACGGAGTATGTGATGCTCAACAATCATGCGGCGCATTTCCTAAAATCAGCCTTGTTCAACAAATCAGTATGTTGCTCGAGCAATCCCTTGTGCAGACTGGTCTCAGTGCTATAAAAGTTTTCGGGGCATAGTCTGAGCTCCAAACCCTGAGAGACCTTTCGGTCTGAAGGCGTTCACCCTCCAACACAGCAGGACTTAGTAGCTGAGTGGATACACTTTACACTTTTTGGGATAATATTGCCTACAGGCCTAAAAGTGCACACCTTTTGGCGCTTATGAACTCAGCAACTAAGAGGAAATTTGAGATGTAGGTGGACCTCCGAGCCCCTAAAGCCCTATACAACCCAATGATTCAACCCGCCCCCCCTCTACCAAAGAGCTTGTATGCCAGTTCTAAGCCCTTTCAACACTCCGTGGTGACAAGCTTCAATATGGTTTACTTCGAATTCTCCCTCATGCACAAGCTACCTGCGTCGTTTCACAGAAGGATGTACAATACACGAGACGACCTTGACAGCGCGCTCTTTCTGTGCCCCTGGCCGCTGACTTCCCTCATAAGAAAAGGCATCAGAATCACGAACCCCGAAGTGTAGCTAATATAGGGGCCTTACTGATTTGCCTATACTATTTTGGCGGTTCCTTAGTATAATCTATTATAATATACCCCTGAACCCATCCTAAACCCTATTCTAACTATAACTAGAATAGGGTGTAGGATGGAATTATAAAAGCCCCTATAGTGCTAAGTCTTCCGACCCTCCGTTAGCCTGAAGCCTTCCAGGAAGCTCGGTGTGATTGAGACAGGAAGGGAGCCTGCAAAGCCGATAAGCCGCAAACCCGAAACTCTAAACCCCTATACCCTAAACCCTAAAAAACCCTAAACCCTAAACCTAAACCCTAAGCCCCTAAACCCCTAAACATTAAACCCTACAAACCCTAAACCTCTATAAACCCTAAACCCCTAAACCTTAAACCCATAAGCCGAAAACCCGAAACCCTCAGCCCGAAGCCCTTGTGGGACATGGTTCGGGTTTAGGGTGATGTAGGAACCTGATTAATGTAGGCACCTGATTGAATTAAGAAACCTTGGGCTTCAAGAAGGGTTCTTTATATGAATCCGACTATTTTGGGGTTTATAGACCCCGGACTTCTTGATCAGGCTCCTACATTATAGGTTTTAGGTTTTGGGGTTTCGGGGGTCAGGGTTCGGGCTCTGGGGTTGAAGGTGCTGGGAGTTGGGGCTCCGAGCCCATAGTCCATCAGTCCTAAGGGTCCAAGTAGTCCCTACTTATGGTTTTGGGTACCTCATAAGGCCCTAAAGTTCTATGATAGGGAGTACTTGGACCCTTTGGGTTAAGAGTTTTTTTGCCAGATCAACCCCAAGCGATTGTTGAAGATGTCTTTTTCATTTTGGCTCTGCTTGCCAGGGCGTCACTAGTTGCGGTCCCTGTCTTCAGGAGGTTTGGAGCTAAGCATCCAAAGCCAAAACAAATTATTGAGGGGTTTAAGGTTTAGGGTTCCTGTCACCAGCAGTGACCATCACCAGCATTAGCATCGCCGTCATCACTACGATGATGGTTTTCCTCCCCATCGTAGTCAGTAATATCATATCAGCAAGGTCACTGTCAATCTGATCACAATCTACCCCTAACCTTCCGAACTTGTCTCTGTGCACTTTAAATGTAAACTCCTACACTCCTAGATATGCCAAAACTTCTGAACAATCAAAATTCCCCTATCTCGTTGCAGCGCCTCAGCAGGGAGCCCTTCCGTACGGGATGCGGTGGCTTCCCTTCCTGGGCCCCCAAACCCTAGAGTTATATGAGTACATGGACTCCCCCAATTTTGAAACGAAGCCTTGAGCTGCGAGAGGCAGCAGGCGTGCTTGGCAATGACGGGTGCTGCCTCAGCTGCAGTGACAAGGCGCTACTGCCCCTTCGTTTTTTGGCAAGGGTCTTGCAGCATTCGTGATATGGGAGTTTCTGAAAATAGGGGACCCTAATCTAGTACCCTACATAGTAGGATCCTGATTATAAGGACCCCCACCCTAAACCTTAAACCCCTAAAGCCCTAAACCCTAAAACCCTATACCTAAACCCTATAAACCCTATAAGCCCTAAACCCTAAACCCGTAAAACCCTAAACCGTAAAACCCTATACTCTAAACCCTATAAACTTTAAACCCTAAACCCTAAACCCCTAAAAACTCTAGACCCTAAAACCCTATGCCCTAAACCCTAAAACCCTAAACCCTTAAACCCTATACCTAAACCCTATAAACCCTAAACCCTAAACCTCAGAATTTGAGTAACAGCCCTGAGAAAAGGTGGCGCGCTGGCAGCTCCAGGGACTGCAGGGCCTCCTTCTAAGCGCGCTGGCCGGCATCCCAGTTCTTAGGCTTTAGGCGTTGTAAGGGTTTTAGGGTTTTTTAGGGTTTTAGGGTTTTTAGGGTTTTAGGGGGAAGTGGTGTTTTTTTGTTTGCTTTGGCCCCGCCGGGTCTTTTTAGACCCGATGTAGTACACCAGACATTTTTTGTTATTGGCTCGCCGAGTTCGGCGGGGGCCGCAGCAAAAAAAGAAACACCACTCCGGCGGAGGAGAAAGCATCGCTGCCTAGGCCCGCGCCCCGAAAAGGTCGCCCCGGGCCACAGTGAGTGAGTGAGCGTCTGGGTGGGGCCGCAGCAAAAAAAAAAACACCACCCAGACCCTGCCCCGGAAGGGTCGCCCCGGCCCACAGTGAGTGAGTGAGCTTCCGGGCGGGGCCGCAGCAAAAAAAAAAACACCCCGACGGCGAGCGGGGCCGCAGCAAAAAAAAAAAACACCACTCCGGCGGAGGAGAAAGCATCGCTGCCCAGGCCCGCGCCCCGAAAAGGTCGCCCCGGCCCACAGTGAGTGAGTGAGCGTCCGGGCGGGGCCGCAGCAAAAAAAAAAACACCACCCAGACCCTGCCCCGGAAGGGTCGCCCCGGCCCACAGTGAGTGAGTGAGCTTCCGGGCGGGGCCGCAGCAAAAAAAAAAACACCACCCAGACCCTGCCCCGGAAGGGTCGCCCCGCCCCACAGTGAGTGAGTGAGCTTCCGGGCGGGGCCGCAGCAAAAAAAAACACCATCCAGGGGGGTGTTTTTTTTTTTTGCTGCGGCCCCGCTCGGAAGCTCACTCACTCACTGTGGGCCGGGGCGACCCTTCCGGGGCAGGGTCTGGGTGGTGTTTTTTTTTTTGCTGCGGCCCCGCCCGGAAGCTTCACTCACTGTGGGCCGGGGCGACCCTTCCGGGGCAGGGTCTGGGTGGTGTTTTTTTTTTGCTGCGGCCCCGCCCGGACGCTCACTCACTCACTGTGGCCCGGGGCGACCTTTCGGGGCGCGGGCCTGGGCAGCGATGCTTTCTTCTCCGCCGGAGTGGTGTTTTTGTTTTTTTTGCTGCGGCCCCGCTCGCCGTCGGGGTGTTTTTTTTTTTGCTGCGGCCCCGCCCGGAAGCTGACTCACTCACTGTGGGCCGGGGCGACCCTTCCGGGGCAGGGTCTGGGTGGTGTTTTTTTTTTTTGCTCTGGCCCCGCTCTTTCCCCCGCCTTTCGGCGGGGCCGGAGCAAAAACAAAAACACCTTGCACGCCCTGGGACCGCAGCAAAAGGAATTCTAGAAACCATTGACACGGGGCCCGAGCAAAAAGGGGCCACAACAAAAAAAAACACCCTGACCGGTTTTAGGGTGGTTTAAGGGTTTTTAGGGTGGTTTAGGGTTTCTAGCGTGGTTTTGGGATTGTCGGTTTTCAGGGTTAGGCTTTAGGGCTTAGGGCTTTGAGGCTTGCCTGTGAACTGTTTAATGAATCCTGTCGGGCATCCCAGAGTTCGTTCTAAATTTTGCGTTTTTGGGTGTTGAGGCTTGTAGAGTGTTAATTATGGGGTTTGGGGTTATTAAGTCTTGGAATTCAACGGTCTGGCTCTGGCTTGGATCCAATTTATGCGAAGTACCTTTGTAACCCTTACTTAACCCCTCCCACGAGCTGCCCTCCTTATAGTGACCCTTACTGTATAGCCCCTGATTTAGATCCCTTACAGCCCCCACCCTAAACCCTAAAACCCTGAACCCTTAAACCCTAGAACCTTAAACCCTTTAAACCCTAAACCCTTGGGGTAGAGGGCTACCCGGCTCCTTGCGACGCATCACAAGCGTTTCGGAAGCTTTTGCTTACCAAACTGCACAACTTTACATCGACCTCTGTGCCTTCCCCTAAGGGTTCCTTTAAGGGGTTTCTTTAGGGTCCATGTACCTACCTAGTATATATCTTGGACTTCAAAGTAGTCCGTTTACATCGATACTTTCGGACTAAAGTATAGACTATTGGGTAATTACATGGTCCCTCAGGGTTCCGTCTATGCATCATGCCGCAATCAGTTGGCGATTCCATCGTTTGGCCTTTCTCCCACAGCGGCTTGGCTACATGGCCAAGACAGGAGGAGATCGCTGGAAACAAGGTCCATGGAGGGCCGGCGTGCCGTTGCAGACATGAGGGTGCGCTCCGACCTTTGTCCGAGCTTGGGGAAATCAAGCTTTCAATTGAATTTCTCATACTTAAACTCAAACTTAAACCCAAGTCACCGAAGTCTTGGCCCATGCATTGTTCTGCATGCCTGGAGGCCTACTTTGAGTCTCCTTGCCGCAGCCTCCAGGATGGGGGCCGTGAATGCCTAAAGTCAAACCCCTGGCACGCAGATGTCCCAGTTTCCGAAATTTCAAACTATGCAAGGGCCTAAGTTCTGAAGCCTGCGAGTACTAATGCTGAAGGCTTTCGGAAGGATCTTGGCACGTAGTAGGTTCCACGTTGTAAGATGTTCAAGTAAGGTGACCCCAGTTAGGGTGCTTTTCAACTGTTATATTGAAGTCTCATGATTCCAACTACACCTTAAACCATCCTAAATTCTTAACCCCTCCT